CATCATTCTACGGTTGATGATATGAATCCTGGATTACCCAGAGTAAGGAATGGACCAAAATTCCCATAATTTCGGGTCCGTACGGTAATGCAGGATTTATATTATCAACCGTAGCACCGACCCGAGGTTTTATCCGAAGTCCAAGTACCGATCTACCATGGTACTTTGACATTCAAGTACCTATATGGGAGCTTCCAAAAAAAAGGGGACACTAGTATAGGACCCTATAAATAGTAGGATCCTTACTATAAGGACCCCCAAAATAGGGTACCCCTAATTTTCGGAAACTCTAAACCCTTATAGAGCCCTTTAAAGGAATCCTTTAGGACCCTTATAGTAACCTTTTTAAGGAGCCCCAAATAAGGTACCCCCAACTTTGGGCAACTCCCATAAAGAATACTTGCGAAGGCCGAAGTTTTAGAGTTCAGGGTTTAGGCAAGTTTCTAGACCCAAGAGTATCCTAGCAATAAAAAGGGTGCCCTTTTTGGTTTAAAGGGGCTTATAAGGGAATCTGAACCCTAAAAAAGGGAATAAGGGCCTACTGAAGGTCCTAGGTTTAGGGTTCTGAAGTTTAGGGTTTAGGGTTTAAGGTTTAGGGCCTAGGGTTTAGGGTTTAAGGTTTGAATTTAGGGTTTAGGGTTCCCTAAACCTGAAAACACTCCATAGATACATGGGCCCTCAGATTTGAGGGTCCGAGGCTTTCAACCCTAAACCCTTTCGCAGTTATGGAGGGTGAAGAGTTCAGGGGTCAGGATCAGAACCCTAAGCCAGGTGTTGACCTCAACAGTCCCCACATTTACTTAAAACAAGGTCTCTATATTCAATAAGGTAAACCCAACATGATCCCAAATCGATACCTAGTAATCGGGGCCCTACTAATAAGGGAGACCCAAGTGATGCTATGGGTAGTTATTCCGACTGCTGTAGTCAGCCCCAAACCGTTACCCTGAACCCTATAATAGAGGGGCCTTAATGATTAGAGTAGGGCTTTGGGGTATATTATATTGTATAACTCTAAGTCATTTTCGGAACCCAAGAAAAGTACAGGTAATTATCAAGGTCCGCATTTAGACCCTTTAGATTCGGATCTCCGGCTTTTCAGAGTTATCAACGCGCGGCCCGGTCGACAGTCTCGGAAGGCATCCAAGCACGCATCAACTAAGAAGACTCCACCTGCCTGGTTTTCAAACAACTAAGTTTAGGGTTTTCGGTTCAGGGTAACAAGTTCTGAAACATAGAAGGCACATTAACCGTAACGCTCCTACATAGATCTTCAAGAGAAGGGATACTGTAGGTGGACGAACTTCCGGAATCACAACCTACTAGCCCTGGGCTGAATCTTCTGGTGTCCTTGCACCGGACACTCTACCCTTCCAGTTCAGGTGCCTCGAATCCAGGATCTGCAGCTTGTCGCGGGCAGCTCGCCAATTGGAGGCAGAGCCAACCCAGAACTTGCTTCTCCTCCTTCTGCCAACTCGTCTTCCATCGGACGTAGGATGATCGGACGTAGGATGCCCAGGTCGGATGTGCTGACGTTGGGTGTGGACGTTCACTGCCGTGTTCTGCTTCCATGAAGATGTCAAAGGAACGTACCTCGGATTCCGGAGAAATCTCGGAGTTTGCTGTGATCAGCCGTGCAAGCGAGAAAAGACTTCACCAGATATCCGAAAAAGTAGACACGTGTGTACGAATGTGAGGAAATGTGTAGAGTTGCAAGCATGTATGTGATCGGCTTGCATGCTGCGATTAGGCGCAAAGCGCAAGCAACTGTGCACACAAACACACACATGTACTCGTGTCTGCTGTATGGGTATCGGCGGTATGCAGGTCATGCAAACATGCTTCCGAGCGGACACATTTGCATGTGGGTAGCTGCTTCACCGCATTCGCACACATAGTCGCCTGTGAGCATATGGGCACATGCGTCCGGACATGAGCAAAATCACAACAACAGTTGAATGTTGGACTCAGAAGTTCATACATTGCCTGCATGCCGGCCGGCAGAAAGACAGAAATACACACACAAACAGAGACAGACACGGACACACACACACACAGACAGACAGACAGAGGCAGAGGCAGAGACAGAGACAGAGACAGAGACACAGACAGAGACACAGACACAGACACAGACACACACACACACACGCACAGACACAGACACAGACACAGACACAGACACACACAGACACAGACACAGACACAGACACAGACCCAGACCCAGACGCAGACGCAGACGCAGACGCGGACACAGACGCGGACACAGACACAGACACAGACACAGACACACACACACACACGCCACCCGCGCACATTTCATGCATATACGAAGATTGGTATATAAATTCCAACCCGTCTGTATGCGTGTATATACATATATATATATATATATATGTGTGTGTGTGTTACAATCTATCTTTGCATTCGCATATAAGCTAATACTTCAATCGAATGCGCACACAGAGCCGTACATATATATATATATATGTATATATATATATATATATACACACACACACACACACAGACCCGGGTCGTGATCGCAAGAGAGAGAGAGAGAGAGAGAGAGAGAGTGTGTGTGTGTGTGTGTGTGTCAGAGCGAGTGTCAGAGCAGAGATGTGTGGGTTCCAGAAAACAAGGGGTTCAACTGTTGCCCCTACAAATTAGAAACATCGTCTGCCGTACATGAAATGCCGTACATGGAGGCCACATGCTGAACACCTTGTAGATAAATAGGTAAGTATATAAACAAATGGATATATATATATATATGTAGATACATAGATATACAGACCGCGAGAGAGAGAGACAGAGAGAGATAGAGAGAGAGAGAGAGAGAGAGAGAACGAGAGAGAGAGAGAGAGAGAGCGAGTGTTAGAGCAGAGATAGGAGAGAGGAGAGGGAGGGGGTGAGATAGAGAGGTAGATAGGCAGCCAGGTATGTAAATATAGATATATGTATATATATATATATATATATATACACATGTATATGTATATATATATATATATATACAAAAAGTGTATATATATAGAGAGAGAGAGAGGGAGAGGAAAGAAACTCCTGCGTTCGACATACCACCCCGTCTATCTCAAAGCCTCATCCCGGCTGAACTCACACCTTAGCCCATCCCAAAGGATGCCAAGCACGTAGATGGCGCTGGCTTACTATGCATGCCAGTGGGTTACAGAGGACTTAAACTCCAGGATCCCCCCCATGTGCATAGTAGCGCGCGAGATACGCCGAGCTGAACATCTTTGACGCGACATCTTTGGCATTTCCCGAGGCTGGGTCACCTGCGCCCCAGGCCACAACGAGTGCTTGCTCGGTGGACTTGGTGAGTAAGTTTTGAAGGCTTGAATGCTGAAAGTGCCTAGAGGTAATCACAACTACAATTTTCGAACAACCGAAAACCCTACTTTACCACAACGTACTTACTACGACATCTGATCTGAAGGCTTATGAAACCGGCCTCTACGTGTTCGGGGTAACATCCTAGAGGGTCTAAAGTACCTATGTAGTAGAATGCAGTGCTCCTATATTGGGAATTACCAGTGTGACTTGAAAAGGCATTTCCCATAACAGTACCTGGAACCCTTTGGGCATAGGGGCCTTAATCGTTCTTTTGCAGGTTGCAGAGTTCCGCACAGGAGTCGCTCAAGGGGGTGATGCAAGGGTTACTAAAGTGGGTTCCGAAAAGGGTTTAGAATTGGTGCCTCAGAATCTAATGAAAACTAGGTTTTGATTTTGGGGTAGAACAGAAAACAAGTAAAACCCTATCCCTCCAAGGACATCATAGTTAGGGCCCTAGACCCCTCAAGGACCCCAAAATAAGGTCCCGGGAGGCACAGGGAAAGAAGGAACCAGAAAAGGAGCGGCTCGTTTCTGATAAGGACAGCGGTTTCTGACTAAGAAGAATGTACTCGGAGCGTTAATCAATAGATGCGCGCCACAACGAACCCTGGATACTGACCCTACCTTAACCCCCTGAATAACCTACCTTTTTAGAGTTCCCTATTATGATTTCCTTATATAAGTCCTTAAAAAGGTAGGTTCTTCCGGGTTAAGGTAGATGAGGAATCGTGTTCGGTGGTGCTTCGGTGTCCGCGACTCGAGCAGCCAAGCCCTATGTTTCCACACCCTCAGCCCTAAACCCCCACAGGTCCGTTATCACCTCATAGACAACCAAAACCCTAAACCCTATAAACCCTAAACCCTAAAACTGTAAACCCTAAAACCTTAAACTCACTCAGCAAAAGAGGACTTACTGGCATAGCGTGGTATTTCGGGCCTAGAAGAGTGAAGATGCCGGTCCGGAAAAGCTTCAAAGCATGATGTTCCCGAACGGTGCATGTGCTCAGATGCTATATACGTTGCGCCTACAGTACCTAGAGAGGGACGACTTTAATCGAAGGTCATAGTATAAACTATGTGAGCGCATGGACCCTTAGGGTTCAGCGTCTTAGATCAGATGTGCAGCGGGGTGCATTGGAGGTCGGAACGCAGCGTTTCGGGCCTTTCACTCTGCAGTTTGTCACAGTGATACATGTGTATATACACATGGCTTAGGAACGTGACGCTTACTCTCAGGCCCTCGTTCCTCATCGAAGTGTTGGTGTAGTAGGTGGTTGCTGCAGCTTCAAGCGCTCTGTCACACCCTCAATAGTCCAGCAAAATGCAATACCAGAAGGCCAGCCGAATGAACCCTGGTTTGGGGTTTAGGGTTTAGGCTCCAGCCAATTGCCAATCAGCTCTAAACCTGTAACTGCAGCCAATCGAGCCAGCCCCACAATCTCCCCCGTGTCAAAGAACTACATCCAACGCCGACAAGTTCAACCCTACGCTGTTGTATCCTACCCGGAGGCATCCCATGACTTACAACCTACTTACTAAAACACCAACTCGAGTAGACAACCCTAAAAACTAAACTCTAGACTCTCAATTAAAACCTAAACCCCAAATCCTAGACAACCCGACCCGAAAGCTGAAGCCCTGACGCCTCAGCTCGCATCCTCCGACTTGCCGATGGCCACCATGTCTCTAAGAAAGGTAACCCATTCCACCTGCAGGGCGGATGTAGGTGTTAAGGGTGATGGGTTGAGTGTTTTTGGGTTAAAATGGGTAGATCTTTGAATTCCTCCGCTAGACAAGCCACTTAATATGCACCTTTCGATACTGGGCGTCCCATCCTAAACCGTGCAGCCGTAAATCCTGAACCCAAACCTTTAAAGGGTAGATATTAAGTTTGTAAATCGTCCCTAGGTCCCTAGGGTTAAGTTAGTTTCATTCCTGAGTTTGTGGACTTCCATGAACTTCTAAACCTAAACAACCACGAACAAAACCAAACGCGACAATCCTGAAGACACTCTACTTGGAGGTTCATGAGTAGTTATAAGTAGGGTTATAAGTGGCATAACTATAGTTGTAAACCATATTAAGGGATCCGGGGCCTATGACCCTACTTACCTACTTATAACTACACATGATCCTCCAAGCACAACCCTGAAACTGAACTTTGAACCTCCTATCGAAGCTAGGGTTCAAAAGTCTTGATTCAGGGCCCATGTACCCAAATAGTACATACTTTGGGCCCAATGTACCTATATGGGGAGTACTTTCAGGCCCAAGTATATACTAGTTTTGTGCAATTTTGTACATGGACCCTTCGGGAAAATAGATAACCTTGAACCGCGTTCCGTATCATCTACTGCCTTGCCGGCGTTCGACTCCCATGACAGGGAGAACGAAGGGAGGCAGCACCTTCTACGCTGACTCCGATGCCGAACTCGATGCCCTATGTAGCCCTGTCTACCAAGATCTGATCCAAACCCAAAGCCCTGAACCCTTAAGCTGAAACCCTAAATCCTAAACTCTTAACCCACAACCCCCACCATCCCCAAACTACACAACAACAAACACAAAGATGCACTGAATCACAGAGAACAATTCCAGGCAAGAGCAGAGGGTTCGCAGGCCTTGTGCCGCCAGTCCTGGCACTGGCACAGGGTTCCAGCAGAGGTTTAGGGTTTAGCTAACCAGTGGTTTTGGGGGTTCCCTTGGCTCTTTAGCTCCTTATTTAATAGGGATTCTCATCATCCCTGGCTCCTGAGCTGCCATAATATCAATGGTCAGTTAGGGCTCAGCGTGTAAGCCATAATTCGCCACGCTGAGCCCTGTCCAGAAACCCTGCTACATTGCTGCATCAGTTTGTATATTGCAGTTTCGAGTAATTACCGGAATCTTGACCTGACAAACTCTATTCTACCCTGAACCTGTTTGCCGGGTCCTTCGTCCCAGGCACAAGGCTCCACACCCTTGAGTTGAGACCTTGAAACATACTGCAACAGTATATAACAGTTTTTGGGATACTTATCCGACGATCCAAGGGCCGCCAACAATGGATCAACAAACTCCACACACTGACACCCCAAACCCAGAGTCTCGCTGCGACCCAACCCCCACGAGACGATCACCCTCTTCGGGGCATATAAAACCCAACGGTTCCAGTTTCCATATTACAGAACCCTAGTAACCTAATCTTTAGGTTGCTGGAGCCCTTGGAAAAGGAAGTCATAATATGTAGCAATGAGTAGCCTAAACCACGCCGGCTTTTTGGGGTTTAGGTCGTTGGGGTGGCGCCTCAGCTTTTAGAAACAGTTTGCGGGGTTCGGGCTTTGGGGTTCAGGGTATAGGGCTTAGGGTTTAGGGAGGTTTTAGAAACAGTTTGCATTGGGGTTAGAAGCTTTAATTAGGGATTCAAGCTTCTGGCGGCTTAGGGTTTCTTTGGGTTTCGTCCTTGCGAGGCCCTGCAGGAACAGCACCGGAGCATTTACCCTTCCCAGGATCAGAGCCACGGTTCAGGGTTTTAGGGTTTTAGGGTTTAGGGGTTAGGGCTTGGGGCTTCCTAACCCCGCAAACTGTTTCTAAAAGCTGAAGCTCCACCCGTCGGCCCTCAGAGGACCAGTCCACACCCCACCGACCTAAGCCCTAAAGAGCCGCGAAATCAAACGGGGAATCTCCAAGAACCAAACCGACACCCTGCAAACCGGAAGCAAACACTCTCGCTTAGAAGGGGCCCCCCACCCTGTAATAGTGGCATAATAGGAATATAATACAATCGGGCCCTAATGTGGTCCTTGTATCACTATTGCAGGGTGGGGGCAGCTTCTAAACTCTCGCTAACAAAAAGAACCCCAACAACTCACACAAACTTAGTCCCTCTCATCAAGTGTCAAGCATGTAAAAGACTGACCCGTAGATCCGAAACCCTGATCCCCAAAACTCTATAAGCCTTAAACATCTAAGCCTAAACCAATAAACCCTCAAGCCCTAAAGCCTAAACTAAACCCTCCGCCACCAAACCCTACACCCTAACTCCAACACCCAACCAGACGTCTGTCCTGTGAAGACTTCCGCGAGGCACGGATGTGGTGAGAGCCTTGGCGGTCAGACACGATGTTTGGGTAGGATCCACGAATAAGGTTTGTTAAACCACAAAAAGAACTACAACGGAGACTATAGGTATAATTGGTATAATCGGTATAATGCCTAATGAGTCTAAAGGCTGGAACCCTTGTGGAGACATTCTCGGAGGCAGCACGACCAACGGCAATGAAATCACTGTTCGCTCCAAGGGGGTACCCAAAAAACGAGGAAAGCATCAACTCAGCATTCGAGATCCTCTGTCGTCAACCAGGCCCTCCGCCCCTTCAAACCCGCTGCCCTTACTTATATTGCTACTCTCAGAGCTACCATTGCCGACCCTCCTTCGCCCCCCCTCCTCCTCCTCCTCCTCCTCGTCCTACTACTACCATTACTTCCACGACTACCACTACTACCACCACTGCCACTACTACCACTACTACCACTACTGCCACTACTGCCACCTGCCACTACTAGCACTACCACTACCCCTACCGCTACAACTACCACTGCTACTACTAGTATCACTATCACTCGCCACTACGACTACCACTCGCTAAACTCTCCAGCCTGCCCGAACCCCGAAATCTGTACAGTAGAAGCCAGAAAGTTGGAATATCATTATTGTAACCCCTTTAAGGTAAATTATAGGGGATCCGACCATTAATCCATATTCCAACTTTCTGGAGTTCCCTTTACATCAATGTCACCGATCATACTAGTCGCTGCAGTTGAAGGTTTCGGGACAACTCAGAAACTCAGAAAGCCCAACACCCTTCAGTTTTTTGAAAGTACCCCTGCTTCAAACAGCAGGCGAAAGAGAGCTTGTCATTGTTGTGGTTTGAAGAATTTTCGTTAGACACCCTGAGGCCATTGTAGTGACTGAAACCAGGCACGAACACGTGTGGGAACCATTATATTATGGGAGTTTCCGAAAATAGGGGACCCTACAAGAGTACCCTAAATAGTAGGGTCCCTTTAAAGGAACCCCTAATATCGGAAACTCTAAACCCTTATAGAGCCCTTTAAAGGAACCCTTATAGTAATTGCTCTTCTAGCAACCCCTTCAAGGATCTCTTTAAAGGAACCCCTAATTTCGAAAACTCCCACACAGTGCTCCACCCTTTCCCCAAGGGTCCGCGCACCTAAGATTCGTATACTCTGCAAAATCCTGACCCACATAATTACTATCCTAAAACCGAGTACCTAATTATTTAGGCCCAAAAAGTAGAACCCTTATAGTAACCCTCTTAAAGGAGCCTTATAGAACCCTTTACAGGGACCCTCGGGGTTTGGGTAGATTCCGAAGCCCGATGCTCGAGAGCTCTGGGCCCCAAGCCAAGCAGAATCTCGGGGCTGAGGTAGGCTCCCGCCTCAGTGGGGATGAGGGCGTGGGAGTGTTGGGCTTATCATGGTGGTGCCTGCAGGGTTTATATAGGAAGGCGTTTAGGGTGTGGGGTTTAGGGCTCAGGATTTAGGAATTAGATTGCAAGCTTGAGTGATTTTTGGGCTTTGGGGAAGGCAATTTCGACATAGGACATGCCTGTTTTCTATTGGGTCTTGCAGGGCTTTAAGGTGTTCTCAGAGTTTAGTGTGTTTCCCTCTCTGTCTAGATTGCAGGCTTCGGGGAGAACCCGACGCCAAGAAATCGGGGTTAGCTGAAGTGTGAGTAAGCCCTCGTAGTACTTACGTTACATGCGGTTTCCCTAAGGGTCCATGTACTCATGTACTAGATACTTTGGCCCTAAAGTACCTATATAGGGACTACTTTCAGGCCCATGTATATACTATTTGGGTACATGGATCCTTACACCCTAAACCCTAAACCCTTACAGGAACCCTTAAAGGATCCCGTAAAGGATCCCTTAAGGGATCCCCTCATGCTGTTTGTTACCTCCTTCCCTCCTTGCGCCCTCCCAACGGAGAAAATTCAGCAGGCCGAAAGCCGAGGATCCTGAAACTCAACAGTCGAATCTACATGGCAGTTTCCGAAACTTAGGGGTACCTTGGGTACCTTTAAAGAGATCCTTCAAGGGGTTCCTTAAAGGGTTCCTATAAGGGATCTATAGGGTTTAGGGTTTAGGGAGTTTCCGAAAATAGGGGTACCTTATTTTGGGGTCCTTATAGTAAGGATCCTGCTTTTGAGGGTACTATATTAGGGTCCCCTATTTTCGGAAACTCCCACATTGCTCGGCCTGCCATTGGAAACATGTCAGTCTCTACTTGCAAAACCCCCTCAGCAGCTTCAACAAATCTAGGGCCGACCCAGAAGGGAAGCCTATCTGTTGGATCTCGGGGCCTTGGCACAACTTCTGACTTCTACCTAAACGCCTAAACCGAAATTCGAAGGAGTAAACCTTAAACCCCAGCCCTGAGCCCCAAAGCCCCTAAACCTTGCACAGCATCCTCCTAAAATCTGTTGAAGTGAGCTCTCAGCGCTGAGATCCGCGAGGTATGATCGTACCTGATTCCCATCCGCAGTGAAGGGAGCCTGCTTCAGGCTGCAAAAGCTTAGGGTTCAAGGATGCTTAGGGTTTAGGGTTTCAGTCTGCAAAAACTTCAGTTTGTTGTCAGTATTCGGCCTCGGGGGTTTAGGTTCAGGGGCTAGGATTATGGAAAAAGGAAGTTTTGAGGTACTTCTCAGGAATTGGGATTTGAATTTTGGGGGCTTGGGGTTCCTTACTTACCCAATAAGCCACAGAAATGAAAGGTTGAACTTTCCGGTTCCTACTCAAACGCAAGAGCCCAAAAAGCTTAAAGGTTGGCTACTGGGGATCTACGAGTTCCCAGGACCAGGCAGAACTGCTCTGCTGCTGCCTCCTCTGCCTCGCTATTCAAAGCAATGCTAGGCTTCAGGGTTCAGGGGTAGCTATAATTGGGGTTATAAGTGGGAAAACCATAGTTATAAACCATATTCGGGGACTTATAACCCTACTTATAACTACCATGAACCTGAAGTAGGGTTCAGGGCTTAGGGTCAAGGGGTTGTTTTGGGTTGTTTTGGGTTGTTCAGGGTGTTTACAGTTATTCAGGATTAAGGGTTTAGGATTTGGCGTTTAGGGGCAGCTAACATAACAGCAGCTCCTGATTCTAATACCGCTAGGGCAACTGCCAGCACAGCTGCTACAACTCCCACTGACTGCTATGGCTACTGCTGCTGCGACGCTGCTGCGCGACGACGACTACCGGAACAAGCAATGCAATTTCAAAAGGACACACTGATGAGACAGGGTGAGGATCAAGCCGATTTAACGAGATTTTGGGGTTGACAGAGGCAGAAACAGTGGTGCAGTGGGAAAGGGAGCAGGGCGATTACTCCTGCCTGCACTCCTTAACTCGTGACTTTCCTGAGTCCTTGTCAACATCCTCCCTGTCGTACAAGTATAACGAAACCCTCCTCTGCTAAGCCCCTAAGAACCTCTATACACCCTGGACTCTGAACCTAAACCCTCAGTGTATTTGACAAGCCATGCGTACATGTCGGGGAGCCGCCTGTATGTGAACGTCCTCGATGAGGTAGACACCACCTCTCCGGTCTGGAAGGGGACTTTGAGTTGGGAGCTTTCAGTTGCTATTATCATTATTAACACTTTTATTATTATTATTATTAGTATTATTATTGCTATTATTATTGTTATTTTGGTTAGCGCTCTTATTGCTATTCTTATCGCTTCGGGGAGATCCTATAGCCTAAACCCGAAGTGAGGGCCCAGGGTTTAGGGGGGACGTGGGGTTGGGGGCTTAAGGCTTGATAGAGGAGCCTTCATATGTCGAATCGGATCTCGGGGCTTAGTAACCCTACAAGTAATATAGGGGGTTGAGGGGTTTAGGGCTTAGGGTTTAGGGTTTAGGGTTTCCTTATTGTAATTATAGGTATAATGGGCCCCAAAACCCTATTCTAATTATTGAGGCACTTGTATTATGGTACCCTTGTAGATCCCTTATAGTATAGTATAGTATGCTTGCCAACACGTAACAATTTCAACCGTCGGTTGAAGACTGGGGCCTTCATGAATATCGTAGGGGTTAGGGTATATGGTAGTGCCCATATATGGGAGCTACACACGGGAATTCGTTACGAACGACTATCTCTGAATCCGTGCTTTGGAGATGCCCCAACGGTGCCCAGGACTGAAAATCATTCGGAAGAGCCTGAAAAATGAGTGTACGGTCTTTGGGCATATTCTGCTATATCTATATATCAAGCATTCTAATTATACCGACTGCGATATTCTGCGAAAGAACCCCATCATCTTCTGGCGGGCTGCCTGGCCGCAGCACCGAGGGGAAGTAGAGCTCAAAACGTGCGATCTGATCCTGCGAAGCTGGAGGCTTTATATGGAGTTCAAAAAATGGGGCCTGTAGTGCCTTAGAGTCGAGTTTAAGGCTTTTGACTGAAGGGTTCAGAAGCCTAACCCCCTCAACCCTACGACTCACAGGAAGTGCTTGTATCAAGGCTTCTGGGCGCAGAGTCCTTGCTAATTATAAAGCACTTGATCAAAGTTTCGAGGCCAGGGTGTGCGGTAGCAACCCTAAACCCTAAACCCTAAAGCGTTTTTTTAGGTTTTGAAGCTTTTACAAGGGGTTTTGGTTTTACAGAATCTTGCTATCGTCCCTGAAAGCGGGGCTTAATTTAGACCACAAGATACCCCCAAACCCTTTTCCAGCGGTTGATGATGTAAATCCTGCATTACGTTAAGGACAAGAAAACTATGGGAATTTTGGTATATTCCTTATTATGGGTAATGCAGGATTGGTATCATCAACCGTAATCATCATTATAAGGCCTCTATATGAGACCATGGAGTTTAAGCCTCAGGCGTAGACCGCGATTTCCAGGCTCCCACGTCCTTGGCCCAGTGGTTCGCGTCGTCGACTATGACCTAAGGTGGTGGCTTTCAGAGATTCCGTCACAAATTCGGGTAAACGGTTTACTCTGGGACTGTAAATGTCTTACCCAGGATTGTGCAGCTTTTTGACTTTGCCCTGAAAGGGGTTCCCACACAGGAGGCAGCATAATGTCTTGCATCTGTGAGAATCACATATACTCCTACAAGTACTACTCAGCTACTATAGTGGCCTTAAGAATTAGAATAGGGTGTTGGGGCCCGCTGTACTCTAATTATAATAAGGAGCCCGCGAAATAGTATAAGTACGTATTTAGGCCCCATCTCTTGCAAGGGAGGCTGTTTAAAAAGTGAGCTTCCAGGGGGGGCGGGAAGATCTTGATATGGGCGTGACGACCCCTTGGCAAAACGGGGGCGGGGAGGCGGGAAAAAATGCCATGCATTGTCCGCTGAGAGACGGTACCCCACATGTCTCATTGGACATAAGGGCTCTCAGAAGAGTGGACAGCCTCGCGGGCGGGCCCAGAGATGTTTGGCGCGCTCTCTTGCATGTCAGCAGCACCAGTGCCTGGACCAGGGCTAGTGTTGCCGGCTGGCACTGTAGCAGATGCTGGTGTTGCCACAGCTGCCTCCTCCGATGGCATCTGTTGCAATACTTCAGCCAGATGCTCTGCACCTCCGCTTGGGGACCAGACTGCAAACTCGGTACCTTGCGCCGGGGAGGCAGCTAGCTGCTCCTCGCGGGCTAGAGTGTTAGCCCAAGATTCTGCAAAAGAAGCCGGGCATAGATAGCCGCTTCGAAGCTGGGCTGGAATGGAGGTCTTGTAGCTACCCCGATATTATAATAGCCACTATCCTGGAGCCAAGGACCCAATTCTCATTAAGCAATGAATTATGATCCTGCTGGGCTTGAGCCTTGCAAGGGTTTAGGGGTTGACCTTCGGGTTTAGGCTTTAGGTTTAGGGTGCGATGTCGTGGCTTTCGCTGCCGGCTACAAGTCTAGCAGAGGAAGATGCCGACAAAAAAGGGTCATGTTAATACATCCCACAGACCCTTAGAACGACTCAACACTAACCAACACTAATGCAAACAAACTTCACCACGTCTGTAGCCGTAGCCCATCCCACCCTTATTGGGTGCACAGGTTACAACCCATTACCCCAACACCCTGATTTGCCACAAGCTGGGCTTGTGGACGTCCAATGTCCAGCATTGATCTAACTCTGGAAGCTCACACATGCATGCGTGCATACGTACATACAACAACAAGTAAATGCACGCATACATACACACATATATACATAAGCATTTACGACATATACATGTACGTGTACATGCACATATACATATACACATATACGTATACACATACAAAAACATATGCATATACATATAACAGGCATATAAATATACACACACAACACATGCACATGCACTTGCATAAGCAGATACCTATATAGATCGACAGATACATAGACAGATAGATAGGTAGACAGATACAGACATTCACACATACATCTATGAATGCATGCATACAGTTCCAGTTACATGTTCGTCAACATGTACAATTGCATTCACATACGTACATACATACATACATTACATGCATACAGACATACATATGTGCATACGCACATACATACATGTGCAAAGTACATGCATCCGCTGCACACATACAATGCACACATTGGCTTACATCACACCGGACCACATCAAAATACATACATAAAAACGTTACAAACTTGTTGATACATTACATGCCCATATCCATAAATACAACTACAATCCTGAGCCGACCCCTGCGAAGGGACCTGCGACCTAAAAGAGAGACAGCTCCGATCCCTGAACATATACGTAGTTTATAGGGTCAGGAAATAATTTAGGGTGTAGGAGTTCAGTGCCTAGGATGTAGGAGTTCGGAAGTTTAGGGTGTAGGGTCTCGGAGCTCTGGGCTGAGGGTTACAAGCGCTTGCTAAATCCAAAACCTGCCGGCCCCAACGAGATCAGAAATCCTGAATCATTGCATCCCGTACGGCTCCTGCAAGCAGCAAAGCCGAGCCCCTAAACTGCAATCCCTGAACCCACAGCGAGCCGAAACAAAAGAACCAGCCAATAGCCCAGACACATACCTGTAAAACCCCTCAACGCCCGAAAGCATCCCATAAAGCCATACTTGGGATCCCTGCTACCCCGAGCCTCCAAACCCCTTTAATTGAGGAATCTACCTTAAATCATAATTTATAGGACCCCTCATATGCGTTAAGGCATATTCCTTAACTAGGGGATTTTGGAGGCTTTGGGCAGCCCGACACAAAACCTTAACCGCCGAAACTTCGCAGCTAAAAGGAGGGTCCAAGTAGCATCAAAGCCATCCGTGAAGCCGACCTCGTGGCTAAGGGTTCAGGGTTTAGGGTTCAGTGGTTGGATTTCGGGTTTAAGGCTTTTCGGTGGTCGGCGATAGGTAATGAACTGCCTCTCGAAGGGTTTTACAAGGGTCTTAAGGCGTGCATTTTTCTGAAGTTTCAGAAGCCTAGGGTGTAGGATTTAGGGTTTATATGGGACGTCAGGGTTCTAGGCTGTATGATGTATGGCCTTCGGAAGCAAAGTTTTCGCTGGATTTTATGGGCTTCAGGTCTAGGCTTAAAGAATATGCAGTAGGTTTTAGAATGCAGGGTTTGGGGCTCAGGGCAGCGCTTAAGGTTTATATGATTCAAGGAAGTTCAATGTTTACCATGTATTTACAAGCACTAAAACGCTCGCGACTCCGAACTTAAGCCTAGGGCTTGGAACAAGGCGCTCAAGAATCAAGGGGCCTGACTGTTGAGAGTGCGGTTTGTAGACCTACAGGAGCGATAAAGGCGTGCTCTTACGAATCAGTCAGGCCTCTGCATTGCATGTCTATAAGAAAAGTAACGAGTAATACAGGGACGATAAAGGGATGCGTTGCGAAGTCTTCGGGCCTCCATATTACTTCGGAGCCGGGGACCGGACTAGTAAGTCGCTCCTAAACGGAGTTGTAGTTAGCATAGCCTTGCAGTGTGCAAATGTAGACCGACCCCCCGCCCCCCCCGCGATTGGCACACACCCTCTCCTTTCAAGCCCATGACACTAGGACCCCGTGTGTGTATATAACATAACCCATTCTATGCCAGGGGCGCTGAGTAGTCCGGGGTCCGCATAAGGCGTAGTTCGGGTCTGGGTAGTATTCATGAGGATGAGGGCAAGCCATGTAGACTAGTGATCACCAAGCCCTGCTGCCGTGATGCAACGGGGCAATACGCATCCCTCTCACAAAGGGTGTTTGCCAATCAAGGTCTTCATTACTTTAACATAGCTGGCAGAGAACTGCAAGTCTCTCAAGCTCAGCACAGCGCTCAGTTTATTCGCTGGTGTCCCCAGCATTGCGATGCCATCGGCAGTACTAGTGTCTAAACGAATAAGACTGCCATAACTGTAGTCAGTCTACAACAACATCCAAACACCAAATGCCGCGATCGAGAAGAAACTAAGCCCTAGACCCTAAAACCCAAAGCCCTGAAACACTAAAACCTAAAACGTAAAACCTACAACCTAAACCTCAAACCCTAAATCCTAAACCCTGAACCCTATAAACCCTAGGCCCGAAGCCCTGAACCCTAAACCCCGACAGCCTAAACCTTCCCTTGGAAATCATAATAAGGGACCCTAAACATGCAGGTTCGGTAGGATCCACGTGAGTCGGACCCCACCTCCGACAAGGCAGCAAGCCCGGATTCGTCAGAGGCATTCGCCTGCAAACGAGGTTTAGGGTTTAGAGGTTTGAGGTTTAGGGTTTAGAGGTTTAGGGGTTTAGGGTTTAGGGGTTTAGGGTTTAGAGCTAGAGTTGAAGGAGTGAAGGAGTAATGAGTAATGAATGTCCTGACAGCCAAAAACCCGAGTATTCCCGCGAAGCCCAATCACCCAAGTACTTCGTTTCGCACTATATTCACTACATTATTCTACAGTCCTTTACACATATGCTTTGCAATTTATACAGCGACCATGACCTGTCACTTAGGCAACTGGATATGGGGAATGTGCAGGAGGGCCCTCTTCGATTGCCCTAAACCCCAAGCCCTCTTTTCTTGCGGCGGGGGGGGGACCCTGGACCCTAAACCTTATAAACCCTAATGAACCCTAAAATTAAAACCCTAACTCTTAAACCCTGAAGCCCTAAACCTTATAAACCCTAAACCCAAAAACCCTAAACCTTAAACCCTGAAGCCCTAAACCCTCAAACCCTAAACCCCTAAACCCCAAGCCCTGTTTGGTTGCAGGGGGGGACCTTGAGAGCTGCACGCGAATCAAGAAAGAAACGAAGGAAAGTTTTGCAGGAGATGCGGGTCAGGCGTTTGAAAGCGAGTTTAACAAGGATGAGGGCTCCTTTAAACTCGGTTGGCCCTACAAAGCCTCTGACAAATCTTCGTAAATAGGGTCCTGTTAAGCCCGATAAGGGGAAATTCTGATAATATACCAAAGGCCTACCTAGTAAAGGACTCTACAGGGTTCAGGTTCGGGGTTTAGGGTTTTGGGTTTAGTCACTTGGTGGTTTAGAAGCTTCGTTAGTCAGGAGTCGGGACCTCGCGGAGAGAATGACCCCCGTTAAGTAGCCCTAAGGGTCCATGTACTCATATAGTATATAAATAGGCCTTAAAGTACTCCCTATATAGGTACATTAAGGCCCAAAGTGTATGCTAGATTAAGTAGGGGCCCCTTGATAATTAATTAGAAGAGGGTTCCTTTCAAAGGGGGTCTATAAGGGTTACCATAAGGGATCTATAAGGGTACTTTTACATAGAGGAGCCGGTGCCATGTCAGCAGCAAATATGAGCTCCCGCACCACTGCTGCATTGCGCTGGAGAGCAAGGCAATGCCGGTTTGTCATGTCGGCTATGGGAGTTTCCGAAAATAGGGGACCCTAAAATAGCACCCTAAATCGTAGGATGCTTATTATAAGGACCCCAAAGTAAGGTGCCCCGTATTTTCGGACACTCCCATGTAGCTGCTTTCGCTCCCAGCCCAGAGGATCACGGCCCTGCCTTCGGCCAGCAGAGCACTCTGGAATCTAAAACAGCGGCCGTGCTTAGGGTTTATGGGTTTAGGGTTTCCTTTACGGCGATTACGGGTTCCTTTAAGGGATCTATAATTAGTATAAGGGTTACTATGAGGGTACTCGCTTGGCAGTGGCCAGCTGCCTGGCCTTGCTTTCGACATCAGATGGCTCGCGCCAAAACCACTCTGGCAGGACATGCTTCTTGCAACGGCGGACGTTTGAAACACCTGCAGGGATCACTACACAAGGTTCTGCTGTCGAGAGCCTAGATTTGCGGAGACACGTTTTGGCACCCTTGTAACACGAAGCCCGACGGTTGCAAATTAAAGCTGCAAAGCTGCACGGGCAAGCCTCGTGTCGCGCCGCCTTCACTTCAGTAACCTTAAACCTTTGTAGGGTTTTTGTTGTCCATAAGGGAATTGCTGTGTGAAGGGTGTTTCGAGGCAGAGCAGGACCACGAAGCAGAACGAACGAACACAGGTACAGTCTGCAAGCCCGCCACTACACTATCCAGGGCACGCACTAGCCTGCTAGATCCAAAACAACTAATTACTGTCGCTATAGTCATGTCCTGCAAGCGAGCGGCCTAAACCTAGTACTAGTTTGTTGTAGAGAAAGTGCGGCCTAGCGGAATTCAGTTGAACGAATCCCCCAACAACTCGCCTCTCTATGCTACCCTAAAGGGCACGCTACATACCCAAGATAAACGAACATGGTGTTCGGCAGCGGCGGTGCAAAGGTCATGCCAAGACGCGCCTGCATGACGTAGACATTTCCTGCATGCGGAAACCACATTCAGGCCACAACTCTGACCCCGAAAATGCTGAAATACAAATCGAAAAACTGCTCGCAGAGTTGTGGATTGGCCGAAGTTCCGATACCTCTTTGTAGTCGTTTTGGTATATGGGGCTCTCAGGACAACATGTCGTCGATTACCCAGACCCGCAAAGTACATCAGCCCTAGTGTAGACTTTCGCGGTAGACGATAAGTTTGTTGTAGCACTGGAAGACTCCCCACATTACAACACAGACTGGTACCTTCAGGTACACAACGAGACAGACAAATCACACAGCAGCTGAACTGAAAGCAGGCAAATGACAAGGTGTCACTTTTATGACTTAAAGACACAGAGGTCGAAACCAAGTGAAACAGGGGAGGGAGAGAGAGAGAGAGAGAGAAAAAAAGAGAGAGAGAGAGAGAGAGAGAGAGAAAAAGAGAGAGAGAGAGAGAGAGAGAGGGAGGGAGGGAGGGAGGGAGGGAGGGAGGGAGGGAGGGAGAGACGGACGACTCCCTGCATCCGCGTGAAACCACCAGTAGGCCTGGTTCAGACGGTACGACCCCGTGGAGAATAAATCCAGAAACTTTCATATCAGTCGTGACGGCAAGCGTAAGCTAATGTAGGAACCTGATTAAAAACCCTAAGCCTATAACCCCAAAATAGTAGGGTTCATATAACGGACCCTAATAAAGGCCCAAGGTTTCTTAATCAGATTCCTACATTAAACGTGGACAACTCGTTGCATGCGAAGATCTCTGAACCCTCGCTGCGCCTCGCGTGAAAGCGCCGTGGGCAGTCAGAACCTCAAGCCGCTCTGATTCGGGTTCAGGGCCTCTGCGGCTTAGGGTTCTGGACTACCCTAAGGCCCTAAGGGTCCATGTGCCCAAATAGTATATACCTGGGCCTTACAGTACACTGTCGCATATGAGAAGAAATCAACACTCGGGCCACTTTCGGGATTTTGAGCCTAGGGGCTTTTATCCACTCCAGTTTGGTACAGCTGGTAGAGGCGCATGTCGTTGTTGCTAGGGTCCTCGATCACAATGCACGTTTAAGCTTGAGCATGCGTAGGATGTCAAGATCGCAGCAGTCCTGCAGATGTGCGCGTGCCTGCTTCTTAGTTTCAGCTTTTCGCATGTCGCAAATAGCAACAAAGCAGCCCTGCTGCTTCTGCAGGATCGCCTCATTCAGGAACTTTTTTCTGAGCTTCGGTGGTGTAGGTTTTTCCAAGTCTTTCAATGGAAGCTCAACGTAGACATCGCATGTCTTCCGTTCGGCCATCCTTGGAGAACGAACTTGGGGGCTACTTAAAGGATCACGGGACGTAGTAACTTGGGTTCTAAACAAGGTAACTATACATATCATTACTTATATGTATATATATATATAACCCCAATTAGGGTACGTATAGCCGTACTTACTAAGTCCCCTGATCCTCCAAGTAGTTTGGAGCCCAGGGTTCCGGTGTTTCTGGTTCTGGACCCCTCCGCCAGGTCAACACCTGGGGGGTCAGGAATCGAAATGGGAGTTTCCGAAATTTGGGGGTACCTTAAAGGGATCCTGTAAGGGGTTCCTTCAAGGGTTCCTATAAGGGATCTATAGGGTTTGGGGTTTAGGGACTTTCCGAAAATTAGGGGTACCGTATTTGGGGGTCCTTATTTTTCCGGATCCTACTATTAAAGGTACTACATTAGGGTCCCCTGTTTTCGGAAACTCCCAAATGGTATGCATGCTTGCACGCGGTGCTAACAGGGCCACACACATGCGCCTCCCTGATCATGTACCAAGAGAGTCCATAGCTACGACTCTTACAGAACTAGCTCTCCCAAAACCATGATTAGAATGGTCTGCTGGACCCTACAATTCCGACTAATTAAAGTAGTAGCTCTCTGACCTTACGTTCAACGACAAAAGTCTTCAACGACAAAAGTCTGCAGGACATTGCCCAGCTTCCTCAAGTGCCCAAACGGTACAACTTGCTGGGACTGTATCACATACCATACTTTGAAGGCTTCTTGATCCGATGCATAACGCCTGAATACACCCAGTGTATGGGCAATTGTTCCTGTCTTAATCCCTGGGGCTCCAGAATGGTAAGTGACTGGGATATATGATATCTGGTTTGTAACCCACCATTTAGGGAACTGAAGCCCTACGGAATGTTCCTCGTAAATGCCTAAGCCGCCTGACCCAGAGACTCCAAAACCCTTTAATTAAGGAATATACCATAAACATCCTTAAACTATGATACGATCCCAATATGGGAGTTTCCAAAAATGGGGGACCCTAATATAGTACCCTAAATAGTAGGATCCTTCTTATGAGGACCCCAAAATAAGGTACCCCCAATTTTCGGAAACTCCCAATATGATTGAACCCCTTAATTAAGGAATATACCTTAAACATCCTTAAACTAGACTCCGAAAACCCCTTAATTAAGGAATATGCCTTAAACTATGATACGATCCCAATATGGTTTAAGGCTGTACCCCACCTTTTAAGGAACCCTAAGGTACCCCCAATTTTCGGAAACTCCCAATATGGTTTAAGGCTGGGAAACCCAAAGCCTCTGAGGTGCCCACTGGCTTCCCGCGGGTGTTAAAGGTCGCCAAATTCTTGTCCATGCCTGCGGGTTTCCGAAATTTGGGGGGGGGGGGGGGTACCTTTAAAAGGGATCCTTTAAGGGTTCCTACAAGGGATTTATAAGGTTTAGGGTTTAGGGATGAGTTCCGTCTGTTTTTCGTTGTCTTATGCGCCCTTTTCCAACAACTACAGAAAGAAGGGTGTACGGTTTAGTGTTTAGGGTCTATATATCAACAATTACATGGAATGTGGGTTTAGGCTCTTTTGTAGTACAACTTGAATAAGAAACCTAAGGAATAATGTTGGAACATATGTTGGTGCCGCAATAAAAAAGCTCTGGTGGTTTCTGAACTTCCTGAGGGATAGGGCTCAAGGATTGTAACCTGCAGTAGCAGATTGTTAGTGATACATATAACCCGTATTTACATATTTAGTTATATGGCGTTATGTAATGTTGTATGACGTTATGTAATTATGCTTGCATGTTTGTCTACCTAGATCGGATAGGACCCGAAGATACCCAGCACAATCCAAACCCTTAACCCTAGAGCCGGCAGCACACAACCAGTCTACTGCAATGACAAATGAATTCCGCTTCGGTCAGGTTTAGTCAAGTCTACAAACCTGGCACGACCTGTTAGCTCTGCCTCGCCTACGATGGTGCCGTATGGGAAGTACTCGGACCACATTGCCAGAGAAGAACCCATTCGCACCTTGGTTGGCGGTTTAGGGTTAGGATTAATGGTAAAAAATATTGGGTTCGGGTTTAGTGTTTAGGGCTAGGATTACTTAAGGAGTGGGGTTCAAGGGTTGGTGGGCCGTGCGGGTTTCGAGATGTAGCAGTTCCGGGTACAAGTGATATGCTCAGGAATGCAGGCCAGGTTGTGGGGTATCGTTACAGCTTCATAGTATGTGGTGGCTCCAAGCCCCTATGTGTCTACCCTGACGCACCTTGGTCTTCCCATGGCTTCAGCGGGTTGTTGAGGCAAGCCGCCACGCAAGCAAAGGACCCCCCAAATAGCCCGAAACAACACACCGAAACCACCTACCCCTAATTTAGGCCCAGTGCTAAACACTTGGTAAGGTTTCGTGGCTGCCTCATCGAAGGCTTGCTGCTTCTGCAGACCCACTTCAATCTGGCAGCACTCATCACTAATCGCGCACCTTACATGCTGTTCAGACTTTTCTCTAGGGGTTCACGTGCCTTAGAGTCGTCAACTTCACCAAATAATACCAACCTACAGTACTCATATCCAACAATCCTAAGCCGCAGTACCATAATGATGGGGTCGTTACAAATACCCTACGCGGTTTAGCGGCCAGAACATTCCTTTCTATCAGAGAAGACATGAGAACGTCCAACCAGTCTCAGCCAGCCGCCAAGGAAATACAGAAAGAACTGACAACGTGTTGAACGCCCCGGACACTCCTCTTCTAAGCTGACCTGGGAATGAGCCATGGAACAAGCCGGAATGGCTTTAATTTCTCTTGAGCAGATTGGACTGACCTTCCACAGCCAACGATACCCCTTTCAACAAGCCCCTGTACCATGGTGCAGAATCAAGGAGGGTGCACGCGCGCATACCTCCGCTGATCAAGGAGACCCTGTCCATACTTGGAGGGTCGGGGGACTTAGTAACCGGTTATTTTAGGGACTTATAAGTACCATAACCCCAATTAGGGTCCCTTTTAGGGTACTTATAAGTCTACTTACTACCTACTTGCTAAGTCCCCCGACCCTCCAAGTATAAAACCCTAAATCCTGAGCTCCAACCCAGAAAACAGCCGAGGGCCACGCGCCGAACTCGAGGACACTGGCAGAGAGCGGAAGGTGGAAAAGGAGGCGCTCGTAGTTTCCTGGGCGCTTCCGAAACCAAACTGGGGAAAAGGTTTAAGGGTCGCAGGATATAGGGTTTCACGGTTTGGGGGATCAGGAAGAGTCTAGGGTTAAGGCTTCAGGCCTGCATGTTTTAAGGGTCAGGGCATTTAGGGTTTAGGCTTCAAGATATTAGGCTTGTAAGGGTTGCTATGTTACCAGTATCAGTCATGTTAGCCCAGAAACAAAGAGCAAACCAGGTCACCACTGAAGGGATCCTTTGAGGGTTCCCTTTAAGGGATCCTTTAAGGGTTCCTTTTAAGGCATCCTTTAAGTTTCGAGTTCCTCGCTACGATGAACATCCGAGTTTCCGAGGTAGTCGTGCCAGCCACTTGCCTGACAGCCACAAAGCGGGCTTGGATTCCAGGTTCCGAGCCCAACCCTACGAGTTTTCGGCCCGTTAGGCACACCCCCCGAAAACTCTAAACCATTTATATAACACTAAGCTCTTAGTAACCCTGAACCCCTAAACCCCAGCCTTTTGCAGAGCTGCCGATTCCGGTTGCTAAGCAGACCTCCGGCCCAAAGCCCGAAGCTACGGTACAGCTTAGTTCTTGGTTTTTGCTATTTTTGTATTCTGAAGAGGGGGGGGTAAGGCTTTTAGGGTTTCACCACCATTACATGCCTACTTTTTCTTAAGTTCTTCATGTAAGAAAAAGTAAGTGGGCAGTGTGGTAGTTGAAGGTAAACGACCATCCCCCCAAACCCAAGCCCCTGATGCAACCCCTCCACATACCTGCATAAATCGCAATGAAATGTCCCCTTACAGTCCCTGGATAGCTCTACTGTAACATACCACATGGCCTACCGGGTAGTTCTCGAAATTCGGGTCCTTGTAAGGGTGCCATACTATTTTGGGGCCCTATAAAGGGAAGCTAATTTCGAGAACTAGCCATATAGTACCCTTGTAGAAATCTTGTAGAAACACTACATTGACTACATCCCTTTAAGGAGCCCTGAAGCCAAAGTCCTTCAAGGAGCCCTATGTCCTAAGTCCTTTAAGGAGCCCTAAGTCCTATCCCTTTAAGGAGCCCTAAGTCCGGAGCAGGGACCCTCAAAGGTAAAACAAACCTTTCCGAGAGGCCTTGTCGCCGCTTCCAATGGCAGGAAGCTCGAAGAGTGCCTCACTCGGGAGAGCTTTGGGACGCTTAATACAGGGACCTTAGGTAATCAGAATAGGGTTTCGGGGTAGAGGAATCCGAGGAATACTATTGGTAGTCATTTAGGCCGCCATATTCGGCTCGGGGGTGGGGTTCACGAGACCAGACATTATGATTTTTGTTGAGAATTTAGGGTCTACCTAGGGTTCCAGGGGTTTAAGATCCGCAGTTTGGGGCTTTAGGCCTACACCCAGAGGCCCCAAAACCCCTGAATTAAGGACTTACCTCAAATCATATTAGGGATCCGAATATAGTTGGTATTCCGTAAGTAAAGGGGTTTTTGGAGGCTCTGGGGTAGGCCTACAGGACAAGGCAACGGGAGCTGCGTGCACGTGGCAGGGAACTGGACGTAGGTGAACCCAAAACAATAAACCTTCAACCTTAACCCCTCAACCCTAAGCCCCTAAACCCCAAAAGCAATAGCCTGGCAGACAGTCGGTCAGGGAGCAGGAGGAAAAGAAGGGGAAGGAGAAGTCAAAGCCGGGTACTGCCCCTAAACTCTGCAACCCGTCTATATTGGGGTTTAGGTTAGATGTCATAATACAGGCTTTTTACATATAATAAATATATATATATATATAATAATAATAATAATAATAATAATAATAATAATAATAATAATAGTGTGCATAAATAATAAAAAATAAATAAACAAATAAATAAATAAATAAATATATACACACACCCACCTATCTACGTACATCATAAACTCCGCCCGATTGTTACTGAGTGGGAGCAATACCCAAGACAAACTGGCCGAAGGGTCACGGGATTCAGACGCTTGAACAAAACTGAGAAATTGATACTCTTACGATGATCATGATTATTTACCATGCTTGTTAATGTCGTTGTTCTTATTCGGCTCCATCAAAGCCCGGACGCCTGATATAGTTCTCAAGAAAAAACAGCACAGATGAGGACAAAATGCCCCAATCTCGTCCAAGGACAGCTTGCAAGCCAGAAGCCCGGCGTCCTCACAGGCTTCAGGCTTCTCTGGGGACTTCCCGGTTTCGGGTTTAAAGGTCAAGGGAAGTGGAGCTCGAGTACTTATCATTTTTATTAAGGGAGAAAACCTCGAAATCATCAAGGGGAGATGGCCTATTTAGTTATGTTGCCAAGAAGTCGGCTCCATAAGCCCTGAACCACATGGTGCGTCAGGGCTCAAGGTCTGCATGGGATGGTGTGACAAGAGTGCTAGCAACCCCTGGGAAACACATGCTTATGACAAAGTCATGCCGCACAAATCTCGTTATCAGCTGCGACTTCAGATAGGACATGATAGGACTACATCATGTCATAAGTACACATGATCTAGTTTGAAGCGGCGCCCGCGAACTCCGACAACAAACACTGCAAGTGGTGATCTTGTTTCAGACAAATAAAAGCCGTCGCTCATGTAGGTGCCGGGTTTGACCGTCTAATTAATTAAGATTTTTATTCCCCCATATGACCTCTACAGCAGCATACTATAATCAACAACTTCACCCCAAAGCTTGAGCCTAGGTGCCAAGGCCTGTAAGAAGGACACAAACAGTTAGGCTGCGAACGTGTAATTATTTGGGCCCCTATTTTGCACCTCCTACTTCTAGGTGTTACGATCCGCAGCTATGAACCTGCTCAAACCAGCATCCAAACCCTCGTCTCGTTGTTGCTTCAAGTGCCAGCGACAGCACACTGAAGGCACAACAGAAAACGTGTGTTCGGGAAGTACGGCACGGCAGATACCGATCAGACCCTATTAGACTATACTACATGGGCTCGAACATACCCTCAATCACTAGACCTAAGAGTAACCTAGGAATAACAAGGGTGCCCTTTTTGGGGTAAAGGGGGTTATAAGGGAACCTAAACCATGAAAAAGGGAATAAGGGCCTACTCTAGGTCCTAGATCATCTGAACTTGCATATGACCACAGGAACTTCCCGTCTTCTGCACTTTGCCCGCCTTCACGCACGTACGCGCAGCCCAAGTACCCGGAAGGACACACAAAAGGGGCTCAATTCAGTGTACGGTGACCCTCCTGGGAGCCCTTGACATCTTCACACTCTCGAAACAGGCAAACTTCGACCTGCTGTCCCATATTGGGTTCTGGTTAGATGCTTGTTTTACACGGTTTACGTTTCGGGGTCAGGATGTGTATTTCAATTGCCAGCATTAAAAAACACGGTATGTACTAGCACGGGAGCTTGAGATGTCTGAACTCCGTAGCAAGGATCCTAAACCCTAAACCGTCAAGGATCCAGCAAAGCCCAGACGCGCACTACCTTACAGATCGGGCCTTTGGTCAAGCATCAGTGAATTGAATTAAAGACTGAAGCCCAAAAGCCCGAACTCAATCGCTCTGTAAGCTCCGTGCAAGTCACCTGGTAGGTTAGGGTACTAGTAGGTTGTGAAGCTCCAATGTATGAACATTCCCGTGCCGTACAGGCCTCGTCTGAGACCTACTTCAAGGACTTGCGGTATCCAGGGTTCAAAGCTTTGGCGGCGCTGGCATTTCCACAGCAGCCTAGACCCTGAGCTCCGTGCGGTTTAGGTTTCAAGCCACTATACTCCACACCCTGAACCCTAAACCCTGTACCCCACAGTCTAAATTCAACGGCAGTCCTCTGCAGATGCTGCATGGGGACAGCGGCTTGTTCGTGGTCGGTTGCCGGCTGTGGCAGAAGCCACTCCTAGCAGGTCTTTTGTATAGGGTTTCGGGTTTAGGGTTTCTTGAGGCTTCAATCTTGCAAAGCTTGTATCCGAGAAGGATTAGGAATCTTGACTAGGTGTTTAAGGCTTGGCAAGGCATGTGGGCGTTAGGGGTTAGATTTCAGCTTGAGATCCATGCCAGGTAGATGGGCGAATGATGCACAATAAAAACAACTCATGCGAACATATCAGGATCGTTTCATATTCGGGCTAGAAAGTATAGACTAGAAGTTAGCTGTTGGGTATTCATTGCCGCCTGGATACCAATCATGATATTATAACAACACAACTAATTAGATTCCTCTCGCAAGCCTATTACCCTAAGGCTCCATGTACCCTTATAGTAGATACTTAGGCCTTAAAGTACCTATATAGGGACCACTTTAAGGCCTAAGTATCTACTATATGAGTACATGGACCCTTACATCCTAAACCCTAAACCCTTATAGGAACCCTTAAAGGATCCCTTAAAGGATCCCTTAAGGGATCCCTTAAAGGAACCCCTATTTGAGTACATGGACCCTTAGGGATTACCGAAGAGCCATGCTTCACTTCCGGTTGGGAACCTGAGCTGGCGCCCCAGAACTGAGACCTATACGGCTGATGATATATATCCTGGGGGTTCCTTTAAAAATGGACCTATAAGGGTACCTTGAAGGGGTTCCTTTAAGGGATCTGTAGGGGTTTTAGGGTTTAGAGTTTAGGGGTGTAAATCCTGCATTACCCATAATAAGGAATCTACCATAATTCCCATAGTTTAGGGTCCTTAAGGTAATGCAGATATATATCATCAACAGTATCAGCTTTGTCCGAGCGACTTGCTCCTCATGAGGAACATGTCTCACCGACATCGGCTCTACACAATATAGGGACCTTAATAATTAGAATAGGGTTTTTTGGAGATATCATACTATAACTATGTCAAGGAACCCCCAAAATACTATTGATTAGGCTCCTATAGTACACCCTTTGGGTTTCAGGGTGTTGCGGCCTCAAGTCTACCCTGTGCTGTTGGGGCAAATGATAGCAAACCCTGACGGAGATCCAACTGAGGAGGGGTCTAGGGTTTATAGAATTGGAGTTTATGTTTAGAGCTTACACACTTCGTGGTTAGCAGTCGGCAAGCAAACATCCGGGTCTACACCGCAATTACGGTGCAGCTAGTCCTTTAAGGATTGTGCCAAGGGCTCTATAGGGGTTCTTGGTTCCAGATCTGTTCCAAACCCTCAGTTATCGGTGTCTCCACTGTTTCCTTAACTGAAAGGTCCTGACCGCAACAAAGTGCTCATGACCACATGATAGAACGGTATGGAATAACAGCCACAGCTAGCCCTACCCTATGGGTCCGTCTACCTGAGTAACCATACGTTGGCCCCAGATACGTTACGTACTTTAGGGTCACAGTCTGGCATACCGTACACGGTTCTGAACTCTCAACACTTCTCGTACCCTATCAATGCTAGCACCCGACCCCGCAACACAGAGCCGCACACCCTTACATTCCCACAGGGTCCTAGGTACTGTTGTGGGGGATACTTACCCTTATCATAATAATGATTCCTAATATAGAAACCCTGCATTTTACAATAAAGGTACTAGGGCTACTAGGGACCCTGAACCCTAAAACCCAAAGCCCCTAAACCCCTAAAACCCTGAACCCGTACCCCCTAACCCACTAAACCCGTAATTAAACCCTAAACCCCTAAACCCCTGAAACCGTAAACCCTAAGCCCCGAAACTCCTTAAACCCTAAACCCTAAAGCCCGTAACCCCTAACCCGTAAACCCTACCCACAGGCCCCAAAGTAGTTCCTTTTTGGGTTTCAAAAAGGAACTACTTTGGGGCCTTAGGGTAAAGCCCCCTGATTTCCATCCCGGCGGCCTTCTTTCAGGCCGCCAGCTTGAAGCGGGGACCTTGAGGGTTCTATCCATACGGTTGATGATATAAATCCTGGGGGTTCCTTTAAAGGGACCTATAAGGGTACCTTTAAGGGGCCCCTTTAAGGGATCTATAGGGGTTTTAGGGTCTAGGGTTTAGGGGTATAAATCCTGCATTACGCGTAACAAGGAATATACCATAATTCCCATAGTTTAGGGTCCTTAAGGTAATGCAGGATTTATATCACCAACAGTAGGGCCCCAAACAAGCACCCAAGAAGGATAGGGATATTCCATATAGACCCCCTTATAATGAAGCCCAAGAAGGTAGGGCTATCCCTATAAAATGTTTATGCTTATGTGCTTTTGGGGCCCCTAAATCCAGAGACTTAAGGAATATACCCTAAAGGGTGCCTTACAGGGATTTCTATAGGGGCTCTATAAAGGGATTAAGGAATCGTAGTTGCTGAGTTCATAAGCCCCCCAAAGTGTAGACTTTCAGTTTTATAGTGGGGAATATGGTTCAGAAAATTGTAAAGTGTATCCACTCAGCTACAGAGGAATCTACCTGAAACTATAAACGGATCCTTGATATGGTATAAGGTATATTCCTTATTATGGGTTTGTTCGAGTCGCTGGGTATCGGGGTTCTCGGTGCTGCGGTTCAGGGAAGGGTTCCCACGGCTTTCTAAACAGATTCTGTAGTGCGGTGAAAGAGATGTAAGAGACGCAACCCACCGAAAGAACATCGGATGTTGGGCTCCCTTCCCATTACCATTAATATTTGTACTAGTAGTATCAATATCTTCCTTACCATTGCTGTAACTCTTAGCATGACCACTACTATTATTCTTGCAAGATTAAAGGCCAGAAGGGTTTGGGTTGGAAGTGCAGGGTTCAAGTCTGTGTCAGGGTTTTAGGGTTTAGGGTCAGGGGTATAGGGTTTAGGGTAGTAAGATTTAGTTTAGGGGTTTTAGGCTTTTGGGGTTTTTAGGATTTCCGGTTTGGGGATTTAGGGTTTGGAGGCGTCTCGGGATGGTTTAGGTTCTCAGGGTTGGGAGCTTTGTGGGCTTGCCTGCGGCTCCACTTGCCTGCTACACAAGTGGCTTCTGGGCTGCAACCGAAATTCAGTGGTGTGGGCAGTAAGCCCCTCCAAGACCCTCAACCTTTCAAAACTTCTATGTATGTGTACGTGCATGCGCATACTATACCTACCCTATGAAGCCTACACTCTTCAACCCCAACAATGAGCAACACATAGATCCCCAATTCCTATGCACAAATTATCCTTTAACAACCTTCTAAAACCTAATGACAACCGTGCACCGTAAGCTATAATCAACACTCTCAGCCCCAAACCCCTAGACCACAAACTAGCCAACAAATGACATGACTCAAACCCTAAACCCTAAGCCCCACCACCCTAAACCCCAAACCCCACACCCCAAACCCCTACACCCCAAACCCCTCCACCCCAACCCCGAAAATCCAAAACCCTGAACCCCTAAACCACAAAACCCCTAACCCCTATAAGCCCTAAACCCCTATAAACCCCTGACCCTAAAACCCTAAACCCCTAACGCTAAAACCCTCCCTTCGGGTTCACTTCCAAGTGTGGTATAAAGTCATAAATGTATTGCATTTTACAGCATATGCGAGTTTTGGCTTGTGAATGACACAAATGTTTTAGATGGTCTCAACCAAGTTATCGTTGTCGATGTCTGGATGTCCCAGGGGGTTCACGAACAGGGGTGCAGACTTCATAAGCAATTGTCAGGTGAAATGACTTGCCTTATTTCAGGCAGAGAAGGCTTCATCCCGCCCTTGGAGCCCTTTCAGTAGTGCAACGGCCCCCCTCGTTGGGTCTCGAGGACTAATCAACCCTAAAGCACAAGTCCCATAACACCTTGTACCCCAAATCCTCTTGAAAAGCCCTAAAGAGAAGCCGAGGAGTTTCCTGCGCCTCAACCCTACTTGGAGGATCATGAGACTCATTAGCTAGGGTAGTAGGAAGGGTCTACATCTTTGTAATTACTAAAGGCCCGGTCAAGTACTTGAGCTTACTGGCTCCCATGATCCTCCAGGTACTCCTATGGAACCCTTTAGGGTGAGGCTTCATGGAAGCCACATCGTTTCCACGTACTTGTATACATCACATACGTCTAGGTTTGCATAGGTAGACACGTATGTGTGCAGTATATATAGTAGTTTGCCAGCTGAGATTAAGGAACAGTACGAAGACCTGAACATGGCACTTGCGCGCGGAGCCTGGTGAAAGAGACGCCATGGCGAAATCACACTCACCCCCCCACCCCCCACCCCATCCCCACCCCAGAAAACAAGCAGAAACGCGGCACACCTTGCTACTAAACGCGCATAGCGCGTTTAGTCTTGCGGAGTCCTTTGTATGCTGTGTTGAGAAAGCCTAGGCACGCAATGGCACTACTGCGAACACCTGCAAATAGCGGCATTTCAAGCACTTTCCGTAGCATGCAGGACAAGTCCCGGCCTCAGTAAGCAGTGTAACCACCAAAAACGCACCATTGCAACTGAACCCGCTAGCAAAACCCTAAACCCCTAAACCCCCAAACCCCTGAACCCTAAGCCCTGAAAGCCCGACATCCGGTTGCCTCGGCGGCAGCGGCTCTAGGCAGCAGAAGCCCTGAGAGAATGGCCTCCATGGAGTCCGGTGGCTGCAGTGTGTGTTTTTTTTGTTAAGCTCCTTTTTCAAGCTTTAGGGTTTGGGTTTTAGGGACTTCGGAATTTGGGTTTAGGGGTTGAGTCATGTGTTGAATAGTTTTTGGGGTTTGGGCTTTAGGGATTAGGGTTCAGGGGTTGAATATTTGCTGGATAGTTTGTCGGGTTTGGGCTTTAGGTATTCGGGTTTGGGGGTTAGGGGTTTAGAGTTCCGGGTTTAGGGTTTAGTACGGTGCAAGCAGAGTTGGGGTGTAAACATGCCAGCTGAACTCCCCAAACCCCGGTGGCTATAGGAAGTCGGTTTGATAGTTACATGTTCAGGGCTTCAGGCCTCCGATGGCAGATACCACTACCCATGGGCTTCATAGTAGTTCCGTTTTGGGATTTCCTTTGTAGGGCCCTAAGTATGAAGCGCAAAAAGAACTACAATGGAGCAATGGAGCCTATGGGTAGTTTCAACGGGACAGCATGCGTATCCAGAGACTCCAAAACACCTTAGTCCAGGAATACTTCCTTAAATCATAGTCGGATCCCTTATATGACTTAGGATATATTATGCCTTAAATTATGATAGGATCCCTTATATGACTTAAGGTATATTCCTTACCTTAAATCATCCCTTAAATGATGTATATAAGGTATATTCCTCAATTAAGGGGTTTTGGAGTCTCTGGGTCCCTTATATGAGTTAAGGTATATTCCTTACTTAAGGTGTCTTGGAGTCTCTGGGTATCATGGGACTGTGGTGAACTTAAGCGGCTCGGCTCTGCGGTAGCGGGACATTGTCGTTCAGGGCGACGATGCACCGGTGCTTTATCATGCTAAACCCTAAATCCTAAACCCCTAAACCCTAAACCCAATACCCCTTAATGAAGGAATGTAGCTTAAATCACAATATTATGAATCCCCTTATAGTTGAAGGTATATTCCTGAACTGCGGGGTATTGGGCTTTCTGGGCTTACACGTGTAGAGCTCCGGGCTTAGGGATAGATACGAGCTTCTTTGAGCTGGACACATGTTCGGGGTCATGGTGACAAAGGTCCTGCTGGAGGGGTCTAAGTTGGCATTAGAGATCCTCGTCATCTACTCTATTGTTAAGAAACTCAAATGGTGGGATGCAGTGTATGGATCCCGTACGTAAGGACTCTCAACCGATCCTACTTACCTTCATCGCACCTTTGCAATCCTTCGATTGTTGTTCGGTCGTTGTGCAAAAGACTTCTGTTGTAATGATGCACGGTCTAGAAATTGAGACAGGCATGCAAACAGCCTTCGAAAGAGAAGCTGTGAACATGAACTCCAAGTATCAAGAAAACGGGACAAGGATGCGCCCTTCCACTCCTCGCCCCGAGATAGAGACTCCGAAATAGGGAGAATACACAACCAAAGATTTGCATATGTTGCTAGCTGGATGTTGAAGCACTAAGAAAATCAGCAAGTGCATCTCGGAAGCCAGACTGTCTGAAGTATCCCTAAGGATGGGGTTGTCCAGACCTTCACTCACCCTGAACCCACAACCCAGTCAAAAATGTTGACTTACCTGCTCGGAAAAAAACTCTTCGCCGCACGGCGCTATCAGCTTCGCCTCCTCAGAACCAAACCCTAATCTTTAAATCCCAGAATCTGAACCCTAAATTTCTGATCCCTGAGCCTTAGACCCTAAACTTCCTAAAGCCTCCGCCCTCAGCCCCAAAACCATGAAATTCCTAAACCAATGCCCTAGATGTCCCAAAACCATGAAGACCCTAAACCCTCTGCCCTAAGCCCCAGCACACCCCTTAATTAAGGAATATACCTTCAATCATAATAGGATCCCTAATATGACTTAAGGTATATTCCTTAAGTTCAGGGGTTTTGAATGAACATCTGGGTCCCCAAGCCAAGTCCAGCACTGCCCCGCAGACTTCTCGTCCGCGCAACAGAGTTCGAACGAAAAGCCCTGGTTCGCTAAGGGGTTTAGGGCTTAGGAGATTTACCTCAGGTTTAGGGCCTTGGGGTTGTAGGTTTAGGGTTTAGGGCTTCGGGGTTTTATGGGTGTAAGGTTTTGTTCTTAGGTGTTTTACCTATAATGAACCCCGGCAAAGATGGCACATCGATTGAGGATGATTGGTGCTGGGATCCTCTATACTTTACGAAAACCCTGGGCATCAAAATAGCCCAGAAGCCTTCTATAGTATGGTCTTTGGGCCCAAAAGCTTCAATGTACGAGTCTGGAGATGACTAGGGTATACTTTACTATGAGGGCATGAGGCTAATGATGTTCCAGCTGTGTGGCTTCTACTGTAAGGCTTTGAAGCACCCTAAACCCCTAAACCCTAAACCCCCAGACCCTAAACCCTAAACCCCTAAACCCTAAACCCTAAACCCCTAAACCCTAAACCCTAAACCCTGGGCTTTATGGCGGAGGCTTCGGAGTTTGCGGTGTGAGGCCTGGGGATCTCTCTACAACGGTACTAAGGTACCCAGAGCATTCAAAACCAGTGAACTTAAGGAGTATACCTCTTAAGTCATAGTAGGGATCCTGTTGTGACTTAAGGCATACTCCTTAATTAAGGGGTCCTGGGGCCTTAAGGTAGTAAGACTCGGTCGGGCTTGATGAGCTTTCCTACAACTGCGTTATGGCGTTCTTCCTATAACACATCGCTGAAGGCTACAAGGGTTGATGTCAAGGCCTGTAGGTCGAAACTTCGTGCTTTGCAGATATTTTCGCTGTTCAGTAATGGCACCAGAGAGGTCTCGAGCTAGAAAGCCGTTTTAGGGTTGCAGGGGTTTGTTGGGGCTTTGGAATTAAGCCTGTGCCAAGCTTTAGTGTAAAGGCCTTGGAGGTATCGATTGACAGTTCGCTGTCGCATGCACTGAAGCCAAGTGTTGAAAACACACACACAGGGTACAGCGATTTAAGGTTTGGAGCCGAGGGTAGAGATTTGGGATCAAAGTGTCTTTTCATCCTCGGACTGCAATTGCAAAAGAAGCCCTGGATGATCTATAATTATCGCCGAGATCATGCTCTGGTTCCTTACTCAACCCCAACCCCCCAAACACCCCTATCCCCCGCAAAACCTAAACCCCCTAAACTGGAAGCCTGGGTTTCAAGGCCCGGAACTTAAACACAACCATGGTAGTGATAATATGCATAGAGGATTCAATCTTTATTGTTGTTATTACTGTTACTATTTGTATCCTTGCTATTGTTATTACTTGAATCTTCTGCGATTTAAGAATCGGGATGTTGGGATTTCGGGCGGGGACCCTTATTCAGGAAAGCATTCCGACACACCTAGCACCTGTGGGCACAAGCCCTAAGCCCTAAACGTCAAGAACTCCTGCAAAAACCGATTATTACTGCGTTAGACAGGCATATTATAAAGCCCATGACCAGGTATGGAAGAATCCCCATTTGTACACAAAGCGCCATCATACCCCTGCCTCTGACCAGCACTTTGGATTTCCCTTTTGGCTCGGCGCCTCACACACATTATAGGGACGGCAAAACAAGCCTCAAAGGAAACAATCACACATAAAGGTTGGGACATCCCAAAAGTATCTAGGCAAACCAAGAACGCACCAGCCAAAAGCTTATGCAGAGTGCACTACTCTGGTGATACAAAGGGAGCCCTGCTTGGAGGGTCGGGGGACTTAGTAACTGGTTATTTTAAGGACTTATACGTACCATAACCCCAATGAGGGTCCCTTTTGGGGTACTTTTAAGTCTACCTACTACCTACTTACTAAGTCTCCCGACCCATCAAGTGAGCAGTAGCTCCTATAATCTCGGGCTCCGGATTTCTATGACTTGGTCCGCAGGCTCGCACCTGGTTTAGGGTTTAGGGTTCTTTAAGCAAAGGATGTTGCCTGAGCTTACATGAGGTCTTGTCCTAAACCCTGAACCCTAAACCTGAACCCTAAACCTGAAGACCCTAAACCCGTACTTACTCCCCAACCCAAAACCCCTCAACCCTAAATCCTGAATCCCTAAACCCTGCAAGCCCTAAATCCCTACACCCTAAATCCCTGAACCCTACATGCTGAACCCCTCCACCCCGAAACTGAAACTCTAAACCTCCGGGTTATAGCCTGAGGTATCCCCAGGCTAGTCGTCGGGTTCAGGATCTTAGGGCTTACAGTAGGGTGTAGGGATTCGAGCTTAGGCAGACCTTAATAAACTTAATATACGATGAAAAAACCCTTTCAAAGCTCCTTACTGCAGGTTCCTCATCTAAGCAATGATTTAGGCACAACAGCTTGAGAACCCTACACCTCAACCTCAACCCTACGTCTAGCTACTCGTTGGGAAGGAATGTCTACGTAGTTGATACAGTTGCATTTGATCGTCTTACTGGTTCTCTGGCAATCTTAGCAGGTTTGCGGATTGAAAAAAACATGTCAATGCTAGAGTTCCAGACGTAGTCCGCCCGGGGCTTAGGCCATTAGGCCTTGAGGCTTAAGATATCGGGCTTTATGACAACCCCTAAACCCCAAACGCTAACCTCAAACCCTACTAAATCCGGAGCCCACACTTCGTGGCGGCCCAGTGCACCTGCGCGAAGCTCCCACTGACGGCCGTGATCCTCGGGGCGCTGGCACCGGAGCCCTTGGATGATACGGCTGATGGACGGAGCTATAAGGGTACCTTTAAGGGGTTCCTTTAAGGGATCTATAGGGTTTCTAGGGTTTAGGGATATAAATCCTGCATTACCCATAATAAGGAATAGACCATAATTCCCATAGTTAAGGGTCCTTGGGGTAATGCAGGATTTTGTCCATCAGCAGTACGAGATGGGCAGCCCTAAACCCTATGATTAATCCTTAAAACTTATACCCAACTGGGTTTGGGGTTTATGATTTAGGATCTAGAGCATCATGAAAAAGAATGCAAAAGCATACGATCTGAAAACACTCTGAAGCTACCAAATCCTCAGTCTCCATGTACGTACATAGCATGGACTTAGGCCTTAAAGGGGTTCCTAAATCGGTATTTTAAGGGAAGCATATACTGTAGAGATACATAGACCCTGAAATAGATAAGATAATAGCGAACCCATAAAGGATCCCGGAACGGAACTTCTTAAAGGCACCCTTCTGGGCACATGGAGCCTTAGGGAAAGATCAGCCAAAACGCAACCGTGCTCGTCACGCGAGCCAGGCCGTACGTCGAAGGCTCTGATTCAGGAGAAAGCGCCTGCAGATTGGTTTAGGATTTAAAACTCTGAACCCGAAAAATCTTATAGACACATAGAGTATAGTCGATTGCATAGCGTGACTTCATTATTCGGTGTTGTAGGGCGCGTGTACCTCTACGGTAGGAACATAGCAGTACTGTACAGGATCCGCTTGAATGCCTAAGTACGTACCATAGAGGTGTGCACACCCTTAAAGTTCAGGCGAGATGTGTGAAGGGCTTCGGGTGTGGGCGGTTTTTGTCGGACTCCTCCTCCTTTCTCTCTTGGGGCTCAGGGTTTGATCCTTACGGTTCTTTAGGGTTACTTACCTCAAACCGAAATGACACAGTAACCAGGCATCGCCCGCATCGTATAAACAATCACGACTACGCAGCTACGACATTGGGCTTCAAAGGTGACAAGAAGCAACATAGGCATCATCACTGAGTGAATCACCAGACATAATACGCAGAGCTGGCAATGTAAAATTTTGTCGTGTGGAACCACGTTCTCCCACCAGTGACGCAATGGATTTTCTTTGAAGTGTTGATGCTGCAGCAGGGTAGTGGAGGTGATAGTCGCTGCGGCTGCTGCAATGAAAGTCATCTGAAAGTAGCCCCACTGCAGACCGCAATTTGGGCCACACCCAGAAGCCGCCTTCTCCTGTGCGGGCGGTGGCGCCACCGCCAGTGTCGCTTGCGTCGCGACGGCCTTCGTCCTCAAAGAGTGGGGTTCTGGATTAAGGGTTTAGTAAAGTGCAGTGGGTCATCCTTACTAAATCTGTTAAGAGTAGCTACGTCCTAAGCTGTGGTAACATTTGTAAGTCCAGGCGATCAGATTTCCTCATATGGGCGTTTCCGAAAATCAGGGGTACCTTATTCTGGGGTCCTGATAACATATCGTACTATCTCACTGGCCCAAAACCCAAGGAAATAAAAGTTGAAACTTTCAGAATCGACTACCTTATAAGAACCCCAAAAGTTGAAAAGTTGAGTTTACAGCCAATAAGCTATTTAGGGTAGAAACCCCCCATTTAAGTCCTTAAAATAGGGTAGGCTATTTGGGGGTCTAGGTCGACCCAGAGACTCAGCGATTGACCTGTGATCTCACAAAACGTCTGAGCCGAGGACTCTTTGTCGATAGTGTACCTTTACCCCAAATCACCTACCGTTCTAAGGACCTATGTAAGGAAATCATATAAGCAATCCTTCAAAAGGAAGGTTTTATAGGGTCCAGGTAGGCCTTAGCATTTAGAACAGGGTGTTGGGATCGAATCGATTACACTCAACAGGTGTATAGGGACTATAATTATAAGAGGATACCCTCTCTAATTATTCCGACTTGTATCGAAAAACTCCCCTAAACCCTAACCTCCATCACTTCTTAAACCCTAAACCCAAACATCCTAAACCCTGAACCCTAAACCCTAAACCCTGAACCGGAACCCTGAGTCCTGAGATCCTTCAAACCCTACGTGGCTGCAGCCGAACAAGCCTACCTTTTTCAGGGAGCCTTTTGTTATAGAGTTGTAATTGCTTGGAAAGGCACGGTTTCTGTGATGCTTCCCAAAGGGTCCGAGTATCATTCTGGTATATACTTAGACCCCCAAACTACCCTATAAGTCTACACCAGAACGATACTTGGACCCTTTGGGCTTCCAAAAGAGGGTGTAGGCTTTAGGAATCTTTCAGGTTTCAGGCACTAGGTGCCAGGGGCATGGGGTTGAACTAGGCTTTAGACGGATGAATCTGTGTTCTAGTAGCGTGAATCGTGTAAACCTGAGAGGGTTGTTAGAGACAGTAGTTTCTTTCTGGGTGTGTGTGTGTGTGTGTGTGTGTGTGTGTGTGACAATGTGTCTTCAGGGTGTCGAGCGCCAAAACTTAAAGGTCTATAGCATCTAGTAACACTGTTCAGCTTGTTTTACAGTCTTTTTAAAGTCCAGAAGGTTATGCGATTTTCGTTGATGGAGAATAGGTCCCGGCTCAGATTTGTTGGGGCCTTCACGGTAAGGCTTACCTGATTGAACAACGGAAAACTATAGAGGAGACCTCATCTGAATCCTAGGCATGTTATAGGAAGGCACCCCTCATATCATTCTGACCCTTAGACCTAACAAGGACCGGTAAATGGTCTAACTAATAAGGGCTATCTATGGTGGGAACTTAGTCCCCTAACCCCTTCCCCTTCACCCGCTGAGCTTCCTCATAATTAACAACAGCCGGGCCAGTGGCTCTTTTTGCTTGCAGCAGCGCGCCCAGGTGTTTTCATCGTCCCAACCTCGGATGGGGGAGCTCCGCAACAACTTCTTTTAGGTTTCAACGCGGATGTTTTCAAGGTGTTATAGAGTTTTTCGGAACCCTTCATATAGCTATTATATACCCATCATAGAGCCCACTATAGGGTAGGGGTCCCCATTAAAGGTCCCACATGTGCTCCGAATACGTATTATCGCGCATACCCCGACCCTGAAGTTCCTCCACGAAGAGCCGCTGGGAAGGCCAAGGTGCGCGCGCTCTGGTACATGTACCCATATAGAGATACATGATACATGAGCCCCAAAGTACCTATATAGGGACTACACTAAGGCCAATGATATACTATATGAGTACATGGACGCTTGAGGTAGAGGGTCCAAGCGCCCCTTTAAGATTGTGCCGGAACTTGTTCGGAAGGTGAGAAATCTGTAGGGTTTTTGTGCCCAATAACACCGGGTAGTCGGACCCGCAACAACAAAGCTGTAAGAAACCTAAATTCCCGAAACCCTGCGTAAAGCCCGACACCCTAAGCCTAAACTGCACAAGCCCCCTTACGGTCTTGAAGCTCCAAATTTCCAAACTGTGGACTGCAGTGCAGTGCCGAGCTACAATTTTCGTTGCCTCCCGGGCCAAAGTTCGGGTGGCAGCATAGTTGCCTCGGCTTTTAGGGGGCCACACAGAGCATGGGCTGCCTATTCCTTGTTCTTTCTGGGCCTTTGATACTTGGTATAATCCCAGAGGGCCCATATACACTACTATTATGGAATTAGGTCCCCAAAGCCATAATGGGCATGTTCTTTTAGGGCCTTATTCCATAATGGTAGTGTATGGACACTCTGGGAATATACTGCGGCTATAATAAGGCACCTCAGGGAACTTCTTGCTTCGTACTCGAGCTCCTATACCTAGACCCAAGAGTAATCTAGGAATAAAAAGGGTGCCCTTTTTGGTTTAAAGGGGCTTATAAGGGAACCTGAACCCTTAAAAAGGGAATACGGGCCCACTCTAGGTCCTAGTATACTGTAAACTTTACTTCGTCATGTCTAGTATTGCAGGGTGCCCTCTACCCCGAGCGAAATGGGTTATGGGTTTCGGGTTCCGGCTTCTTGGAAGGAGGTCGGAAGTCCATGCATCTCCAAAGTATGCCCTTTGACATTAAAGGGCTTCGTAGGGGTTCCTACGTCCATAGTTTAGCATCAGGTTATGTGCGACATTAGATACTCAGACGCTTACGGAGATAGTTGAGGCTTTACATGGCTTGCCTAAGGCCTCAGTTCAGCGCCCTTTTGTCAGTTCGTTAGTTTCTTGTTTCGAACAGTTATACGGACCTTACGGTCGTCAACAATAGACGACCGAATCGGTGCGTTATGCATCAGATTGAGGTGCTGGGGTATTATATTGCGGCATGTGTGTATGCACTAGGATGAGGAACCCAAAGGCCCTCAGAAACTGCATTACACTGAGTATTCAGGCTTGTGTCTTATCCTCGGCTCTTGCTTCATCTTCGAGTCCTTGGCGTTGAAAGTTGTCGGATTTAAACGTCGAAGTTTAGTGGGCTTTCCGTCTGTAGTGTTTCGGGAATTTCCGGTACGGAAGATATAGATCTAGACCACAATGCAAGGGTTTTAGGGCGTCGGAATGAGTCGAAGTTGCAGAAGAGAAAGCTGCTCCTTGGGAGCCAAGATGCCATGTAAACCGCCGGTCCCAACAGACGTGATGGTCGTTTGCATGGAAGCTGGTCGCCTTGGCAAGATGCCCTAACAGTAACAGTTGGCAAATTACCTTTCAGCCTGTGCCATACGGTGGATGATATAAATCCTGCATTACCTTAAGGATCCTAAACTATGGGAATTATGGCATATTCTTTATTATGGGTAATGCAGGATTAATATCATCAACCGTAGGACATCCCTCACTTGTAGTCCTTGGGTGTATTGCTTGTCGGGTTTAGGATGAAGCTTAATATTAGGGCAGCTGTGGAGAATCCGGGATCCTAGCAAAAGAAGCGGTTGGTACAAACCGAGCTCTCAACACAAACCTCGCACCCATCGCTACGCAAAACCCAAAGACCCAAAATACATCTTGCTGTTCGGAACTCCGAACATGGACCTACTTGGAGGATCGAGGGACGGAGCATTCGCTTTCAAAAACAATTCTAAGGAGGACAACCTTACTTACATTGGGTGCTTAAGCCTGTAATTATACTTAAAATATAGCCCACCTAATGAACCCTACAACGAAAGTGCCGGCTCAGTCGCCATGTACTGGTTCCAGTCCTCTCAGTGGAAGCTGATTTCAAGACATTGGATTAAGGTACATTTCAGGTGCTACTGGTAAGTGCATATCTTGTGCCCGTCTGGGTCTCTAAACACAAATCCGAAGCATGTGGATATGGTTTCTTAGGTTTGGGGTTTGGGGCTCATACTGTCGGGACAACTCCCAGGTTTCCGGCTACATGCATGAAACATTCGTAGAATCAATGCCCTCGATCGTCATTCTTCTGCCGAATTTAGAGAATATCTCGAGCAATCCAAGTTCCGAACCCTAAACCTATAACCCTAAGCACTACACCCTAAGCCTCAACCAGACCTGAAACTCTAAGCTCTGAACCTTAAACGCCCTAAACCCTAAACCCTAAACCCTAAACGCCCTAACCTTGTTCCCCAAGGCTCTCGACTCCAAAGCAAGAACTCTACTCCCCTTGGAAGGTAAGCAAAAAACGACTTTTTTCGGAGACCCCCTATAAAAGAAGACCGGAACCAAAAAAGGAACAAAGTAACAAAGTCTCCAAGAGCCTTAAAGAGAACCCAAACCCCATGCAGCCCTAGTGCCCAGGTTTTCGAGGCAGCTCGACGTAGCGATGGCCGTCTGGATCTTTCCGATACCCTCACAGCGAGGTTCGCATCCAGTGATAGGAGGCATCTCCGGAATGTCTGAGACCCCTGCACGCAGCTTATCCGGCTAATTCTGGATCTCTTGGATTTTGTGATACCGAGCTTCTGCGAAGCGCCAAACGGCGTGCGGACCGTCTGATGGGCGTGTGCTCTCAACGCGCAGCCGGGACTTGTTTTGATAACCAGTGCCCATCCTCCCTCAGCTCGAGACTTTGCTCGTCGGCTGCCGCGGACGTCCTGTTCTTCTGCCTGGCATGGGAACTCGTCGCCGTGAAAAGTAGCAACTTGCCGTGAGGCAGCTCCAGGTCGAATGCAGTGCCCGCTGCCGCTGCGTGAAAGATCAGTGCACAGCATGGTTTGAGGTTCGCGTTGGATTTAGAATCACAAGTAAGGCAGTATAATAAGGTAGTCTTCGGGCAATCATATAAAACAATTTGGCACTACGGTAAATCTAGGTTCTCTTCCCGTGCCCCAGGCATGATGCGTGAGGTGAGGCAGGCAACACGTTTTGCAATACGTCGGCGGGCAAGTGTTGCCCAGCAGCCCTAAACCCCTAAAGCCCACCTAGACCCCCCAACTACCTTCTAATATACCCCAAACACCCACTATTAAGGGCCATGCAGGCTCCATTGAGGCCCTGTGGGGGTGCTGGTACGCATCCCAAACTCTTAGCCCCAAACCCATGGACCCGGAAGTCTGAGTCAAAACGCCATGATGACCGTGTCACCTACCCCTTCGTGCTGCAGGTTTAGGGATACTCAACCCGCTTGAGGATTATGATTTTGAGCTTGGGGCTTTTGGGTTTGGGGTTATATAGGGTTCGGGGTTTTAGGGTTTGAGGGTTTAGGGTGGGGTCTGGCATTTAGCGTCACCTTTGAATTTAAGGTTTGCTGCTGAAGGCTCTGAGGATCCGAGCTTGCCGAACCTATACTGAACTTAGACCCCTGGCAAAAAAACTTAGTTTTAGCTGCTTCTTAGGGATTATAATAACCAAAGATTAAGCAACAATCTAAGTACCCCTAAGGAACGACCAAACTTCCCGATACACGATCCGTCCTTCATAGCACTCTGTTGTACATCATCCTGGAAGGAACTTTGAGACGCAAGACTCCACAAGATCATGCAGTTTAGGGCTCGGGGTGTGGGCTCTGCTCTGTTGGTTAAGGCGCTTTGTTGCTTTTGGCTTGCTTTTCTCCGGAACCCCTGTGATTCTTGCAGGAACACGTGTATCTACCCAGATGTCTATCCATCTATCGATCGTCTATCGATCTGTCTATCTTCTATTTAAAAATCATTCTAGTTATCTCAGCTATCTATCTCTCTGTAGGTATGTCTATCTTTCTTCATATCTAGATGTTTGTCAACCTCTCTCACTCTACTTATTTCATTTTGCCTTCTTTCTGGCTACCCACCTCCCTACCTACACCTGCCTACCCACCTCCCTCCCTACCTCCCTGCCTGCCTGCCTACCTTCCTCAACCCAACCACTTACCTACTTACCTGTAGCCATCTATCTACTTACCGACCAACTTCTCCATCCACCTATGTATGTTGCTATCTGCAATCTACAGTAGAAGCCAGAAAGTTGGAATAGCAGTATCGTAACCCCTTTAAGGTAAATTATGGGGGATCCTACCATTAATCCGTATTCCAACTTTTTGGAGTTCCCTTTATATCTATCATGCTGGTTAAGTGTACCCATCTGCGGTCCGAGATGTAGACATGCACATAGGTGAAGACAGTTCATTTGTCCACGTTGTTTGCGTATGTGCCTATACATACTTATACGCAGTATTCGCAGTGTGCATGTTTACGCACATGTATAAACATAATTACCAACACAAATATGTGTACACACATATTTTTTTAATCGTATATATATATATACACACACACATCTGTGTGTGTGTGTGTTAAAAATGTGCCAATGCATCAACATATATACATATATATACACAGACGTACAGCGAGGGAGAGAGAGAGAGAGAGAGAGAGAGAGAGAGAGAGAGCGGGAGAGAAAGAACTCTGAAAAGATAGCAGCCGAATGCATCTGAAAAGGTTCACGCCTTTTTCTCGCTTGGCTTGAGCCAACAGTGCAGTCGGCCAGCCGCATCCACACCAGCAGTGCAAACACTACTGATCATCAGGCTCTTCAGAGCTCGCTTTCACACCCCTATTACTTTTCTGGTGTGGATTGGGCTGGAGGCAAATCTTTTCGCCTTTCATAAGCCTAAGGATCGGCTCATGTCCCACGATTTTCTTCGTGAGTGAATCAGCCACCATCCGGTCGGTGGTGGTCCAGACGAGTTGCGTGCTTGGGCTCTCCGGTGGACGGTCACGGCTAAGAGGGTCTCCGACCTCCTCGCCTTCAGCTCTCCAAAGTTCTTGCCGTAGCGAACAAAGGTCTATGGCCAGACGCTTGTCGGCCACACTCGTCCCGGTAGGGTTGGTGAGGTGGGAGAGCAGCGAGTAACAGTCTGTTACCCAGACCACTCGTCGGCCGTCTTGGGCTTCAACCATCCACTGCGTAGCGTTGTTCTTCGCCATCGGAACAAGCAACCCATGAAGCACTCCCCTGAGGTGCTCTGCTTCATTGGCTCCCAATTGCAGCGAGAGCGCTTCGGCCTGTAGGGTTGATTTGCACACTCGGCGGATCACCGTAGAGTGCCATTCCACTGGATACAAAGTGCCATCCAGAGTGGTGGCGTAGCTCTTGTCCGCCAAACAAAGAAGACGCCCGGACTGGCTCCGGTACCCCATCTTGTCGCCGCTGGTACTTCGATCAAAATCTGCGGCGTACGATGCGTCTTGAATGGCGATGATCACTGCCGACTTAAAGTCCAGAGCCCCGGCCTCGTAGAAGATGCCCTCGTCCTTGGTGCGCCCTGCGTACTTCACGAGGGCGTTGGCGTCCAGCAAATCTTGCACACATGGCTTGGTCATCGACACCTGGAGCTTGGCGACCCCGTAAGAAAGGTCCGGTCGACAGACCCGTGCGAGCCACGACAGGGACCCTATCACAGATCGGAGTTGGCTTTTCTCCGACTCAGTCGCCGGTGACTCCCGTTGCCCTCGTCGTCGAGGTTCGAGCTGAATCGGCCGAACTCGAGTGATGAGTTCGGGGCATGTCACCTTCACACCGGCCTGTGTCTGCTCTATCATTCTTCCGCAATAGCGGAAGACATTGGTGTCCAGGGAGCCAAAGGAGTACTTGGCTTTGACACGCTCCATGATGGAATCCATTTTTGTGCCGCCGGCCCACAACAGATCATCCACATGGATCATGAGGAGCCCGCCGACGCATGGATCGCCCTGCTCATCGTACTCGTTAAGTACGTAGAGGCCGGTCTCCAGGGGAACTCGCCGAAGTCCTTCGGTGAGCAAGGTGTTGTCTAAGTTCTTGAACCAACCTCGTGGTGCATCCTTGGTGCCGTATACCGTGGTGGATACCACGATCAAGTCTCCTTCTTCCATATCGTAGGGTGCTTGCCCTTTCCCCATGGGTCTGATCATCGGATAATCATATACTCTCGGGAATGGTATCTGACAAGGGGATCTCGGGTTGTTTATCGTATTTGGGGGTTCGTGTCTAAAGACCCTAAATGTTAAAAGGAGGGGTTTCAGTGAGCTGCAGGCCGCTTCCTGGCAGTCCGGTGGATCAAACATGTGCACGTCGGTAGATCTTATTCAGCATTCGATTCGAAGAATTCGAGCAGGCAGCAGCTGCAGCAGCAGCAGCAAAATCATCGGCATAATCATGAGCATTGCACCTACACATGTGCATGTCATGCCAGTGAAATATACTTGTAGCTATGTAGATACATGTGATAATGGGCTTGCTGCGGCAAGCTTCCTTCCTGGGACGGCGGAGTCGAGGCGATGAAGGTGTGCCCACCCCTTGCTGCCATTGCTTGGGCTTCCAGTTCTTGCGAGTGCAGTGTACATGTGTGTTGCATTGCATACATGTACATTGCAAACTTACACCGATGATGTTTGGATCCAGCGGTTTTTGTGATTTGGAAGCCCGGCGTCCGGAAGCCACAGTTACCTGCAGAATCGACTTCGAAGCCCAAAGGGTTTTGAATAAACCAGGGGTGCCAGGGGTGTGCTTCGTCGAAGCCATGGCCGAGAAACTTGAAGAGAAGGAGCCCCAGACCGAGAAGGAGCCCAAGACCCGTAAAATTACAAAGCCCATGGTGTTGCACATCTCTGTTCTGTGACTGCATTGGCGATGTACGTACACTTATGATCCATGCTTATAGTTATAGATCCGCCCCAAGCATACATGTACATATAAGGCCGAAGCAGACATCATCCACGACATCCTGAAGCCCCTGCTGGAGCAGAACCTGGCCCTGATCATGTCGGTGCCGGCTCCCCTCGAATCTTGTCAGGCAAGCACATGTGGGGATTGCAAGTTATGACTTTCAGCAGGGGCGAGCATCAATTGGCATCAAGCTGGGAGTGCATGGCCATTCGCGGATAAGGAAAGGGCCTTCGTCGAGTGGGATGCCAGGGAGACGGCAGCTGCAGCAGGGCCCAATTAATTAATCGTTTGCAGCATGTGGGGCACGATTTCGGCGCTTATAGTAATATAATACCCACTTCAGGTCTACAACTCCGACCTGGAGGCGAACTACGATCTTTTAAAAGAATATATCGTAGAAATGGCGCCTCGCTGTCCGACACTGGGTACGTTCGAATCTGCATTCATTTTACTTTCGATCTCGTTGAACCTTCACGGGGAATGCCTCCACCACATGCGTGGAGGCAAAGGACAATGCAGAGACCCTGGACAGCACATATGTACGAGTTGAGGTACTGCACATAGCATTTCAGATTAAGCATTGCAATGCCCAGGAATGGGGCCGAGTGGAGGCGGCCCGATTCAGATCCATGCTTATGCACATCGCCAAGGTTGCGAAGAAGACTCAGGGTGCAAGGACTGTGGCGGGGTATATAATCTAAGACCGGTGCTAGCTACAAGTATGTGTGCTGATCAGCTTTGCATGTCTACAATTGCAATGCAGTAGATTATCAGGAGCAAGAAGGTGGAGGTTCTCAAGAAGATCTTCCGTGCCAAGTCCGGGCACAACCTGGACACGGGCGATGACGACTCCGGCCTCGAGGCTCGACTTTAGATTATTGCAATCGGGATGTGCAGATTTTGAAAAGTCGCTGCATGCAATCATCAGTGTTCGAGCTCCAGTGTGAAACATGCTTGCCAGCAGTGCCCAATCGCCCCATACACCGTATAGATGTATATATATATATATAATAAACTATTAACTGTAGATCTCCACTGCAATCTAAACCACAGGATTGATTGTGCATGCATTGCAAGCCCCATCCAATGCAGGATCAAGATGAGGAGGATGAGGCCGTGAAAGCCGATCCGGACCTCCAGGCTGCCGACAAGCTGGCTGAGTTGCTTTCGCCTACGAAGCGAGTGGCTCGAGGGGCCGTGGTTTTGGGCTACAGTCCGAAGGCTGTATCCCGTATGCAATTATATAATAATTGAGGTAGGCATGTGATTGGACGATAAATGGCCAGGGTTTTTTTTTCGCGACTTCAGGGGATCGGCACACGATGTTGAATCAGGAGCCCGATGATTATGCAAATCAATTGTCATGCTAGGAATTCGAATGTCTCGCTTCAGCTGCTAGCAGACTTGGCTACTCAAGCCCAGGCAGCGGCCCCCGCGGGAAACGATGGCGGCCTCGACGTGGAGATGGCCGAGAACCAGGATGCTCCTGTGCAGAGTTCGTCGTTTGCTACCAAAGAATCCAGGCATGTAGTAATTTCAGATTGTTCGTATGGTCTCAGTCACATTCTAAATTATGCCCACGGGATGATAAAATCGAGATTCAGGATCGGTCTGCTTTGATACTTCAGCGGGACGAGACCCCAGAAGAGTTCATGATGAACCAGCGGTATACCCGTTTCGACCACATCACACAGCTGCAAGATGAAGTGAGAACGAGCATCAGGGAGGTTACATGGCATGCAGTGCACCAAGTTGCTAGCTACATATTGGGTGTAACACTGACATGTATAATGATCTAAGGCTGCTGCAGCGGATGAGGAGCGGAAGATCAACAAGAAGCGAGGTCGAGGACAGGGCAAAAAGGGGAAGAAGCAGGGCTGCGACGAGCAGGCGGAGGAGCCTGCTGCCCCGGCCCGCAAGAGCCGAGTGAGCAAGCTTTTGAAGCAGCCGGGCGGTGTGAGTGCGGGGAAACCCTCCAATAAGAAGTCGCCGAAGAAGCAGTCGCCCCGGAAGATGAAGAGGGTTAATGCTGCCCTGGAGAAGATCAAGGAAGCCATGCTTTCGGGCCTCGATCCTCCCGAGGTTTTGTCGAATCAGCAGCTCGCCTGAACAGAATTCGCATGATTATCGCATCAATCTGCATCATATATGGTTGGGTATTGCGAATCGAGTATCTAGCATTTTATCTCAGGAGCTTCACGGCCTACCCGGACCCGGCCCTCAAGAAGAAGGCGAGCCCCATCGGCATTATCCTGCTTTCCGACAACTACTATGTGAAGAAGGTTAAGGTTCGCTCGGAGGCCACCCCGCCGGATAAGAAGGGAGGATGCACGGTCCCGTGGCACCTCTACGGGATCAAAGGTGGGTACCTTGATTGAATGCATGTATTGTTCATGTTGATAATAAAATCCTCAAAACCGATCGCGACATCAAGGGCATGCATGGCTTGCTTTGCTTCAGTGTATACCAGAATTCTCAGACAGAGAGAGCGAGAGAGAGAGAGAGAGAGAGAGAGAGAGAGAGAGAGAGAGAGAGAGAGAGAGAGAGAGAGAGAGAGAGAGAGAGAGAGAGAGATAATTAATACAGGGTTCGCGAGAGAGAGCGAGAGAGAGAGAGAGAGATCGTTATTCTTGAAGCTACATGCTTAACCCCCGGTATTTGAGTGTATAGTCTAAAAGGGTGAGGACGTTTTATCATAACTGGATGCCTGTTCCCAACTACGGTTGATGATATAAATCCTGCATTACCCATAATAAGGAATATACCATAATTCCCATAGTTTAGAATCCTTAAGGTAATGCAGGATTTATATCATCAACCGTATTACTTTAACATCTGTGTGTTTCTGGTGTGCAATACATATCTAGATCCGTGCACATGTACACATGCATGGTACAACATGGCGAACACATATGCATGTGCATATATCTAAGGTGGGAGCATGCCAAGATGATGGCCGGATGGAAGGTCGGGCAAGGATCCGGACATGGAGGGGTATCCGAGCTCGCAACTAATTATATCATGATCTCAACTGGCATGCATGATTGTAGATTGTACACGATTCGACAGCATCGAGGCTGCTGCCAATGACAACGTCGCCGGCGACCTCGCCGGCGCCGATGGAAGCTGATCATGGCCTGAGCCCGTCAGCTGGAGTGCAGCTGAAGCTCGAGTAATTTTTGAAAGCATGGCTCTGCTATAGTTGCTATACTAGACCCTGGCATTGATCCCGAGGCTTCAGTTCCCCCCTAGCTCTAGCGGCTATAGCTATGTATACACTTACCAAACTAGGGCACTTGTATTGTCACAATTCCTGTGCTGATCAGTGTACATGTATATATGCTACTTCTTACACACCTTTGCTGCTTTGGCTGTGCCGATCTCGAGCTTGCTGGACTCGGATTTTGGATCGATGCGGCATGACCCGTGTCACTTGAGGTTGGCCCAGATTTCGCTGGATGTAAACTAGCAAAGCATAGCTCATGTTAGGGCAATGTCTGTACTCAGGGCCTGGCCGATCATAATAGCATTGGTCCGAATTGAACTGCCAGTGTTGCCTGGGCTCGCACATGCATTCTTGGATCGGATGCACAGCTGATCACGGTTGCAGTGATGAAACATTCCGGTCGCCATGCACTCTAGCTGTGTCAAGCATTCTGCCGCCTGCATAGCATCATTCTTAAAATTAGTTGATACTGTCCTGATGCTGTCGCAGGCACTGCAACTACGACGATGCCTGGGCCTTCGGCTTTGCGACCTTCGAAAGGTGCTTCCAGCCTTCAGGGCTTTGCAATTGCAAGTGCAGTCTTGGATTGTGCTCATGATCTGAGTGCTCACACATGCCGCTGCATGACCATGACTGCCTATGTGCTGTGATTGCATTGCATTTGCAAGTGCTGTGGCCAGGTATGTGTGGATTAGAGCTCCAAGCACAAGACAGAGTAGCATGACTAGGTAGCACAGCTTCCTCCTCGAGCTCAAACTCCTCCTGTAAGTTGGCTAGTCAGAACTATGCAATATAACTAATACAATATAACTAATATAACTGAACAATAATATCCCCGGTATAGATCGATGAAGCCTCAGCCCCTATGTTACAAACCTATTGAAGTGTTCATTCGATGCTTTACGGCAGCAGTCTACATGTCGAGCTCAAGCTAGCTAGCTAGTGGTGACGAGCTGATCGCTGCTTGTCTAGACTAGTCCGGATCCCTCTAGAGTCACCGTCTGGTTG